ATCGGTCGGACTGGTTCGCGTGATTGAAACATTAAGTGTTTGGTTTCAAAGATGCATTTGGATTTTATATGATTTTACGCTTCTTCGTGTCCTTCTGACCACGTTCATCGATTATAGGGTAAGTGATTTGTATACAATACTATTTAAATTTTGCTACATATTTTGCCCTAAACTCGGCACTCAGGGTCATTGAACAGTGAGGGATCTTCCTGTCAACACCTTCTGCGACACGGTACCTCTGTTTATACTTTATAGGTCTCCACGTCCCACAGTGGGATTCAACTCCTTATTTCGTGGCTCTAGAGCAGGTGCTTTAACCACTGGGCCACGCAAGCGACATAAAAATTAAACATATCTAGGCCCGTTTAAAAAGTTTGATTTATGTCATTGAAAAAATAACGTGTTTAGTGTCAATGATATATGTTAATTTGTTATGAATTTTTTCTCGTAAATTTCAATCGTCAAAATTTATTATGAACTTGGTTTAACTTAATTTTTTGTAAACCTGATACAAACTTTGCCGTACACAGTGGAACGTTGATTGAAATGTTTGTTAGGGGTTATGTATATTTCATTTTAAGGAAAATTAGATCTTTGATCGGCTAGATCCGCAATCGAAAATGTCATTTAAGTTCAGTAGTGTACACTTGCTTTTACGTCAAGTATGTACCGTGTTTCCTTTGTTCGTTATATTAGAATCTACTTAGCCAACGTCACCCTGGTCATTACACTATGTAAAAAAAATGTTTAAAAAATCAAGCGATTCACTTTTAAGTTTTAACTAAAGTATGTAAAGTATTAATGGCCGTTTTTAACTGTTATTTATTACAAAATACGGTATACAATTGAAAATTGTTACTCTCCTAAATTTGGTAAAAACCGTGCATGATCGTTTTATAAATAGTTCTTTTGTCCCGACTCGATGGGCGGAGTTATAGAAAAGTGTGGGTTATGTACAGAAAGCCCACACTTTTAACAAAAGAAATCACACCTAACTATGGTACAATGACCGATACCCATTGTTTTCTGTAAGCCATCTACTTCGTGCGTCGTCTGTTTTTGTTTCTGTAAATGTTTGAATTCTTTCACTCTTTCTTTTGATTGACTGAACCAATTTTGATATATCAAAGCCCCTATGGGTAATGGAAAACAAAATTATGAACTTTAAAGTCTGTACATCCCTAGGGTCTAAGGTAATTGCCTAAGTCTTTAATTAATGCGACTTTTCTTCTCCTGAGCATTAAACAGCCAAACTGAAATTCATGATACGTTTGTTCAGTCCCCCAAGTTGGGTCTAATTTGGTCATATAAAGAAAATGCATCATACCGTGGGTAAGTTTTCTCTTTACACCCGGTCAACAATTAGAAAAACGGCATACCAGGATGAATATGATCCGCAACGAGACGTTTACGAAACGTGTGAACATGTTCAGTTCCCAGTGAGGAGATAAAATGGTAATATATAGATATTGAAAACTAATTAAATTTTTAAAATTCTGTCTTACTCTAGTTCTTGGACACCTAGGATGCGACTTTGTTTTAGAGTAAAATGAACAATGAGCTCCCTTCATCTTTTGCATTATGATAAGCTCCTAGCCTTCTACCGAAATTGTGAAATTCATGGTTCAGGTTGAGCAAGATTATCATGATTTAAAAGTGCATCAAGCCTTTTTTTCCTGCATGATTTTTAATGAATTCAACTTTTACCAAAATGGAATAACACACGTCCCCTTGGTTAGGGTTCAATGTTTGGACTAAATTGGTTATATATTTTAAAAATGTGTATTTATGTGTACATATCTTTAAATTCTTCTCTACTAATGAATATTTGGTATGCAAACTTTAGACATGTTTATATTTAATATACCTATCCTTATAAAAGATAATTAAATACATTCAGCCATACGATAGATGTACCAGGGTAGGGGTAGATGTTCATATATTTGAAATACAAGACAGCTTTGAAAATCATTGCTACTGCTAGACAAAAACAAGTGAAACACTGATGCTCCCGTATGACAGCATTTTAGCAAGGATTGAAGTCATTCAAATGCAAATCAAATTCCAAGGTCAAATTCGTGGTCCCTAAAGGAAGGCCTTGTCATAATAAATAAGCAAATGACCTGTGAAAGGTCTAGTACTAACAGTTCCAAAGTTATGACCAAGATTAATGTTTTACGTATAGTTCAAACTCTAAGGTCAAAGTCAAAAGGTCAAAAATATCTATTATATCTATTTAAAGGTCTTATCATAATAAATACTCATGTAAACTATGAAAAACCTAGCACCAACTATTCAAAAGTTATGACCAAGGTTAAAGATGGATAATGTTTCGTAAAGTTGGTCATGATTAAAAGACTTCACACAAGGAATACAGATGTGAAATATAAAAGCTATAGCGCGATCCACTCAAAACTTATTGTCAAGGTTAAAATTTTTGCAGACATACACACAGACAGCGGATGGACAGGACAAAAACTATCTATATACCCCAAATCTTTGATTATGGGGTATAAAAATTCAAACTCTATAAGTACATTGAATACTCAACCCTATACTTATATTGTTGAATTGAACCTTTGGTTCAGGCCTCAGGGTGGGGCATATAAAGAACAAAATTACATTAATTTTAAAATTTATAGTCAAGGGCATTAAAATGAGCAGACAAACAACTTGTGTGAATAAAATGAGCAACAAAAATCCTTTATCAAAAATTAAAAAAAATCAGGGTCCTGTATCCAGGACTCAGCCCTCAGAGTTGGACTTGGAGTGAAATTTGATGGATAGTGTGTGAGGATGTGTTGGTCAGGGTGTGTGTGTTTTAAGATTTATGTCTCATTTATTTCGATAAACGCAAAGGTTTGCAATTTTTTCTCTTTCAGCACTAAATCCAATTATAATGCCTAACAACACAAAAACGTTTTACTCAAAGATTGGTGAAAGGCCCAAAGAAAATATAACATGTGTATCTGATTGTCTGGAGTCAAGCTACAACTGCGTATATATATGGATTACAAACCAAAATCGGAACACTTTTACAAAGGGAAAAATTTTATTCACACATAAAGGCATTAAAATGAACAGTACTTTCCAATGCTTTGTTTACATAAAAAGTAAACATTTATTTTACGGATACAGCGAGAAGATTCAAATTATTGTGAAAGGCAAGTAATTACACGTACTTAAATTCATCTTCGCTAGCAAAGATGACTTAAATTTAATTCGTATATTTCTCAAACATGAACTATCATGTCCATTTTTGCGACTAATAATTTATAATTTTATCGTCGACTTAGCATTGAGATTGTATTCTTTATCAAAATACAAATTACACATTATTCTCTATTTACACTGGTTATAAATGAATTAAAGAGTTCAGAATACATAAAATTAAAATACATAAAATTAACCAATATCTTTAAAAAGAAAAATGAAAAATAGATTTTAAAAAAATCAATTTATGACGTTTAAATTTCATTAGCTCAATATATATTATATAAAATTACTCACTTATATTAACATAATAATTATATTCCAATGTGTATATATTTTGATAAATTTATATGCATCGCATTGAGAAGGGAAGTGAGACACAATTATTTGGAAATAAGTCTTAATAGAGAATCGTTACCCGTTGTAATTAAATTGATTTTAGTTATAAAGTACAATTTACAACAACTCAACACACAAATAACTGTATCTCACTCTCACTTTGAATGACTGTGTAGTGTAGGGCGGTGCCATGAGAATTCCATCGGCATCGAAAGCAAGTTTTTTTAACTTGCCTAGCTAGCTGAGTGGTCTAGCGCGCTGTTCCTGTACTGCTATAAGAGACAGGAGACAGGTTCCGTGCAATTTTGTTTGTATGACCTTTGGTTAAAAATAAAAACAAAAAACGTTGAAAAAAGTTTGGGTAGAAAGAAATCAAAAAACAAAAAAGAACAGAACAATAATGAAGGAAACAAAATAAAAATTGTGATCAAGCTTGAGGAAAATGGTACCTCTGTGTCACTAAGCAAAACATGGTGCGTAGTGACAGAAGCGTTGTTGAATGACAATAAAAGTAAATGTGCTATGTACAAGATTTTCCAAGTAACAGTATCATACTGTAATTGTAATGGGAGAGTTTAGAGGTAAACAAGAAATATCTTAAATAGTCCATACTGATATGAATTAATAGTTATTAATTTGAAAAGACTAAATTTAAGATTTCTAAAAACACTTTTGATTTCAAGTTTTTTGATGAATTGAAAAGACACCATTAAATAGTTAATGGGTACTGGACTTACATGTCCTCAGAAATCACATCTTCTGGTGGATATATTTCTGCCGTGGACTGTGGTGGGGCAAGTTCATACAAATCTCTGATAGACTGGATCATGTATTTGCGACCCTTTTCGTACAACTTGGTAAATATCCGTCCATCGCTTGTCCAAAAGGAATGTACTTTTTCAGCACCTTTCGCACTTGCCAGTTCTTTGACAATTGATTGTCTGTATTTAGTAAGGTCTTCGGTTATGAATATCGTAGAGTCTTTTAGCATTCGTTTCGTTGTGTAGATTTTATTTTTTACTTTAAAATTTTTAAAACGACATATAATTTGAATATTGCCGTCTTTGTTGGGTTTGCCAATGGGATGTGTTTTTGTGGTGTGAACTTTAACGTACTTGTCGCATGTATAAACATTTGTGAGTTCTACTCATGTCGTCAAAGTCAAAATCAGTGGGTACAAAACGAAAACAATAGTCCCTCTGATAATAGCCTTCTGCCATTTCCGCCATCTTGAATCTGGTTCTTGAACCTCCCAACCCAGATTTTCAGAATTATTAAATTATGTACCGAAGCAGATAAAAAATGCCGATATGGATATATAAATATTTGACTGCTTATTCTTTAAATGTGTATTCATGTACATGTATAACGATTCTTTGAATATAAAATATTTGTCACACAATTTAATATTTTGTACACGCCATACTTCATAACTTCTGTATTTTAGGTGCTAAATATTATCATTAAGTAATTGATTAAAAAAAATTCAAAACAAGGATCAACGTGGATTTGAACAAGGGATCTCTCGCATACTAAGCGATAATCTTTCCCCTCGACCATCGACGATCTTGATATAATAACAGGGAATTATTTATAAACAATAGGTCACATTCATATTGTATACATGTTAACATCACTTGTACACCTCTTAATCCATTAGCATAAATCTGAACAATTCCAAGAGAAAGGTTATAAAATATGAGTAAAATCCGTAAACTTCCGAACAGCTTTGCTCGCGAGAACTAGATGAGACCAACATGCGAGAGGTGAAAATCGAGAGAAATACACAACAAGAAAAAAGAGGTAAAACTTTTATGTTTTTTTCCCCCGATTTTTAAGGTTTTTGAATTGCGCAGAGTTGAGAAACAAACGTTAATTTACTTGAAAAGAAAAAGTAGGTATGCAATTTCTGATTCTGCCAAGTGCTTTTTCACTTTAAAGTGTCAGGACAGCACCTCTCGATTTTGTAAACATGTTTCCACGTGGAAGGGAGTAGTTGTGTCGGTCAAGATTAACCCACATACATTGATTTAGTAAACAAAAACTCTCGTAAGTAGAATTTCATTTATTTTTTCGATTACCTGTAGCACAAAATGTCTAAATATTTAAGGGCATGTTTGTAAAATGCTGTTAATAGCATGTTAAATTGAAGAGAACATGCGGGTGTACTATAGTTCGTTCCTACTTGTAACGTACCATGCATTCATACGCAGAGTTACATGTATACGCGTCATTATTTTTACTTATCAATACCCAGTGATTTGTGAGAACCATGTGCCTTTTTCAAATACCAAGAGACTAAAATTTAATTCTATCCGTACATGTGTGTATGTGCACAATCAATTGTTTTTTAGCCTTTCAGTGTCAAGTCCGCTAAATATTGCAACATTCTGTGCTTTTGTTGTTGTTGTTTGTTTGTTTTTTAATGATACGCGCCATCACACACAAATTACACACACACAAAAATATTTATTCCACCATTAATATAATGGGCTTTACTGATTAATATGTCTATTGAAGAATGACATGTTAATTGAATTTGAAAATGAGCTTCCATTATATGAATATGTATGATACTGTAATGCGTAATGTGATAATTTCCTTTAAAAAAACAAATATAAAAATTAAAAAATTCAAATCAATCATGCGTAAGTAATAATGTGCAATGAATATTTCTTACAGGATACTTAGAAGTCAGTGATGTTAAAGTTCAAGGTTTGCCTATTGTGAGCTTTGTACATGTAATAGTAAGGATGATTTTACAACATTTTATATGCAATATTATTATTTTTAGGTCACCTGAGTAAACTCAGGTGACCTATTGCTATCCGTTTTCGTCCGTCGTCGTCCGTCGTTCGTCGTACGTCGTCCGTCGTGTGTTAACATTTGAACATTTTCAGCTTCTTCTCTGCAACCACTGAACCAATTTCAACCAAATTTGGCACAAAGCATCTTTGGGTGAAGGGGAACAAAAATTGTGAATTTCATGATCCCTGCTCCCCCTGGGGCATGAGGGGTGGGGCCAAAACCACTAAAATTAATGCAATATTTAAAAATCTTCTTCTTTACTCCTGGACATCAAGCAGTCAAACCGTTTGCATGATTGTAATTAGCATTGAGTCCTCTACTAAAATTGTGAAATTCATGGCCCTGGGGTCAGGGGTTCTAGTGCTAGGGTGGGGCTAAATAAGTATATAGTGAAAATGCATTATTTCTTTGAAAATCTTCTTCTCTACTCCTGGGTATTAAATAAATGAACTAAGTACATAGTTATGATGAGCAAGAGTGCCTCTACCAAAATTGTGAATTTTATGGCCCCAGGGTCAGGGGTTCTGGTGTTAGGGCGGGGCTCTATTGATTATATATAGTGAAAATACATGATTTCTTTGAAAATCTTCTTCTCTGCCCCTGGGTATCAAATATACTAAATAAGTGCATAGTTATGATGAGCAAGAGTGCCTCTACCAAAATTGTGAATTTTATGGCCCCAGGGTCAAGGGTTCTGGTGTTAGGGGGGGGGTTCTATTGATTATATAGTGAAAATACATGATTTCTTTGAAAATCTTCTTCTCTGCTCCTAGGTATTAAATAAACTAACTAAGTGCAAAGTTATGATGAGCAAGAGTGCCTCAACCAAAATTGTGAATTTTATGGCCCCAGGGTCAAGGGTTCTGGTGTTGGGGAGAGGGGGGGGGGCTCTATTGATTATATAGTGAAAATACATGAATTCTTTGAAAATCTTCTTCTCTGCTCCTAGGTATTAAGTAAACTAACTACGTGCATAGTTATGATGAGCAAGAGTGCCTCAACCAAAATTATGAAATTTATGGCCCCAGGGTCCAGGGTTCTGGTGTTAGGGCGGGGCTCTATAGATTATATAGTAAAAATACATGAATCTTTGAAAATCTTCTTCTCTGCTCGTAGGTATTAAATAAACTAACTAAGTGCATAGTTATGATGAGCAAGAGTGCCTCAACCAAAATTGTGAATTTTTTGGCCCCAGGGTCAAGGGTTCTGGTGTTAGGGCAGCGCTCTATAGTTTATATAGTAAAAATACATGAATTCTTTGAAAATCTTCTCCTCTGCTCCTAGGTATTAAATAAACTAACTAAGTGCATAGTTATGATGAGCAAGAGTGCCTCAACCAAAATTGTGAATTTTATGGCCCCAGGGTCAAGGGTTCTGGTGTTAGGGCAGCGCTCTAAAGATTATATAGTAAAAATATATGAATTCTTTGAAAATCTTCTCCTCTGCTCCTAGGTATTAAATAAACTAACTAAGTGCATAGTTATGATGAGCAAAGAGTGCCTCAACCAAAATCGTGAATTTTATGGCCCCAGGGTCAAGGGTTCTGGTGTTGGGGAGGGGGGGGGGGTCTATTGATTATATATTGAAAATACATGAATTCTTTGAAAATCTTCTTCATTGCTCCTAGGAATTAAATAAACTAAGTACATAGTTATGATGAGCAAGAATGCCTCTTTTAAAATTATGAATTTTATGGCCCCAGGGTCAGGGGTTCTGGTGTTAGGGGGGTGGGGCTCTATTGACTATATAGTGAAAATACATTAAATCTTGAAAATTTTATTCTCTGTCTCTGGATATAAAGCAGATGAACTACCTTTATAGTTGTGATGAGCAAGGGCCCTAATCTTGCAGACTTGTGAATTTCAAGGCCCCAGGGTCAGGGGTGGGGTAGGGGCTCTACTTATATACTGAAAATGAATTTATTGTTTGAAATCTGCTTTTTTGTATTTATAAAACATTTATTTATTTTTTGATATTAAGGGTGCCTTTTTAAAATTTGTGCAATGTGTGGACCTAGGGTCAGGGGTTTATGTCACAGTGTTAGGGGCACTACTGATTAGTTGGAATGCATTTTTGTTCCCCTACCCTGTGTATGGGTATTCAGTAACCAAGCTAAGCAACTGCTAAGTGTATTGTTATGATGATCAATGGTGCCTCTTTCAAAATTGTGAATGTCATATAGCATCTGGCTTAAAACATGAATCAAATTCAATAACTGGAAAGTTGTTGCATAATGCTCAGGTGACCTATAAGGCCCGTGGGCCTCTTGTATTATTTAATTATTATCTTCCTGATCATGCTGATTGAAATATATAAACAAAAAAGAATACTTAAGAATACCCATTTATTCCAATATCTCTTATACATGTACATCAATGTATAAAAGAATCCCGTGGAAAGAGAGAGAGAGAGAGAGAGAGAGAGAGAGAGCCAATATAATTGAAAATAATACATCCATCATTTTTTGTTTAATGCTCCAATGATTTATTCACATCCTATTCTTTTTTCAGCAGATACTTTGGTAATAAAGAATGGCTGAAAAAATTCTTTCCTCATGCTGCATAACAGTACATGTAAGTTCATATGAAGAAGAAAATCCATGGCATTAAACGAAACTTAAAAAGAGAAATAAACACAGTTGACAAACAAACAATTTTATACCAATGCATGAATCAGATCAGCATTATATGCAAAATTAAAAAGATTTACATATTTTTCTGATTTGCATGTAGTGCAATGATATTTGTGTCAGTATTTTTTACTCGGCTTTCTTTACGACATAATTGCAAATGCATGTATTTTATTTGGATTAATTAAATTAAAAGGATTGTATCAATTTATTAATCATATTTGTAGTTCACCTATAACAAAATAAATTATCTGTTATGAAAGCTTCAAGCACGAGAATAAGAAATAATGTCAAGTTCAAAGAGAAGGTATGTTGATAACTGGTGATGATATGTTATTGATGTACTTAAAATTTTACAGCAATTAAATAGAAAAATGAAACATATGGAGATAATGAACAGTATTCAAGATCAAAAGTCCATAAAAAATCCAAAATAGGAGCAAAGCAAACACGGACCTCCAAAACATCAGAGGTGGGATCAGGTGCCATGGAGAAGTGAGCATCCCCTGCCAACCGGTCACACCCGCCGTGTGCTATTTGTCATGATCGGGAAACAAAGGAAAAATCCGTCGTCAATTCAGGGTATAAATAATACACTTACAATTAGTAAGTATGAAAAACGTCAGTCAGCATTTGACTCAACGATAAATTGTATTTGCTGAAAAAAAAACAATTGTAATCTGTAGGCAAACTTTTCGAGATCAGGCAGGTCATGATTTGTTATTTTACTCATATTAACATGTTAGCATCCTCTGAGATAGTGCAGAGCAAATTTATATCTGTTCATATCATATTCTAAGGGGGTATGGTGGTTCTACAATGAGGTATCAAACTTTATGGTTTTATAAACCAACAAAGTTCTATTTTTAATAGCTAAAAAGATTCCGAAGTATTACATTTCTGCTAATATATAGATTATTTACATTTACGTCAGAGACGAAATTTGTGTTTCATAGCGCAAACAAAGATGGAATGGTTTACATTGAAATTGATTTTAACGACAAGCCCTCAGACGGAAATACCGTCTTAAACGGAGCCGAAGACAAGATATTATATGTCGACATAGACTCGGTCAAACATTCCGATCCACCTACAAAGAATGGAGAGGAAGGAAATCATGACTTCCAGGAAAATGGGAAAGCATAAAAAGTGGGGGAAAAAAGTTACAGCCGAAAAATACAACCCTCTGGAAATTTCAGTTTCCATGACGCTTGTTATGAACTGTAACAATCATTCCAATAACAGCTGGCACTTTGCTTGATCCACATTAGTAGAATTTCATATATTGAATACCTAATTACCCATTGATTGGATGTCTTACTTACAGTAAGATTAAAGAGGTGAAAGTTTAAGAGAAAGATTTATTTGCTACCGCTATTTTTACATGGAAATATTTTTAAAAATATTTTTTAAAATATAAAAACGTCAATGCGTATCCCCTATAGAAAATTAAAAATCAAGGGATCCACAGGAATTCTCATTTCTTATATATAGTTTTTTTTTAAACGTTAAAGACATGCATTTACTAATAATGTGGTCTCCTTGTTTCGTTTCTGAGTAGTTTGAAAGGATACAAAATATCAGTATTAGAAGGAACAGTTTATACACTGTTCATTTCTGTAAGTGTCTTGTTTATTTGTTGCTGTTTTTTTTAATTCACACAACATACAACATTATATAATGTATTAATATTCCTTTCTTCAAACAACGAACAAATTCTTTTTGAAAATTTTGTGTATAATTACGTTTATTACATTTTTACCTGTGAAATACTGTAATTTATTCATTGAATAAAAATGATATCCTGTCACAGTGTGAAAGGATATCAAAATGATATCCTGTCACAGTGTGAAAGGATATCAAAATGATATCCTGTCACACTGTGACGAATATCAGAAGTGCGGGGAATCTTGATTTCCCTTCCCATAACGAAGATTGCTGTAAAAAAAATCTTCCTTGACCTAATATCAGATAGATGGAAATAAACAAACCATTCTGACAGCGAATAAAACTGTCAAAATCACCAAAAATATGTTGCTAAATCCATGTTTACAGTGTTTTCACTTCATTTAGATATGACGTCTCGACCGCTCAACTATGACCTCACGAGCCTATGACTGTATTACAAAAAGACAGAGGCAAAGGAAAAATCAAAGAATTTTTTAAAAAATGTAATAAACAGAAAATTCAATGTTTTGTAGGTGAATATGGAATTTATTTCACTCGTGAGACAGGATTTTTCGATATTTTCACTCGTGCTTTGCACTCGTGAAAATATCAAAAATCCTGTCCCACTCGTGAAATAAATACCATATTCAACAACGAAACATCGAATATCCTCTATACATTCCCATAAAAGGTGTTTTATTGTCTCCTACTCAGTATGCAAAACATAGAGTCTTTTTTTAATTTCAAATAAGAATGACTTTATTGTATATAATTTGTGTATAATCCTTATTGAGACCATTGGAGTTAACAGTCTTTTGTTACCTGCCTGTTGTTATGTGTTTTTTTTTTCCAATTCTGAGTTTCAACTTCTAATAGCTCACTCCACTGTGTTTTTTCTGCTGCAACAGAAGAATTTTTATTTCATAATTTCATAATAGCATGAACTTTTACATTTCCTTACTGTGTAGATATTCGACATAATTAAAGAATTAGTTAGGTTTTTAGTTGAATTTTAATTAAATTGAATTTTTGTATTCTTTTGGTTATGGATAACTTCTGGATGAATAAAATAAACTGCATTGCCAATTGTTATAATTCAATTACAGTGACAAAGTTACTAGTTTTCTTTGATTATTCACATAAAAGAAACTTTATGAAAAGTTCACATTTTGGAGGATGCACAAAAATTAATCGAAAAATATCATATGATAGAAACCTCTGTTGATATTATTGAAACACTAATAAGGTCATCTTCGCTAGCCAAGGGTTTCCGATCCGAAGTCTACTCTAGAGTAGATTTCGGATCGGAAAACCTTGGCTAGCGAAGATGTTATAAGGTATGCTCTTTTATTTCTTCATTTATTAAACATATAAAAATTGCAAAACTTTCTGAAAGGATCCCTGACTCGTGTTGTAAGTAAACAATAAATCAACTTCACAAGTTAACTGGAGGGGGGGGGGGTCACAAGTAATGTCTTGATTTTAAAATTAAAATTTGCCAATGAACTTGGTTGATGGGTCTCAAAATTATTGTGAGGTGTTTCTTTCTTGTGTACTCACATACAATCAAGATACCGATTACTAATGAAAATCACATTAACCCATTTTAAGAAAATCTCGGTCAAAGACAGACTAATTACATTATAGATTTCCAACTTATAATATACATGTAATATAAACTTTTTTAAACATACCCCAAGTCCAGCTAAAACATTTCAAGAAGATGATCAATTTTATGGAAATTAATGTGCAAAAAAGGTTGTCCGAATATGTACTGAGTATTCCTTATTTTAATGTACATTAGATGCGTCAGAATTGTAATTTCATAAAAAAAAAAAAAACCAAAAAAACATTAAACATTTGCAACATGTTTTACCTTTCAAACTTTTGGTTATTTACCTTTGGTTTCTTTTTTCTTTTTTTCTCTTATGAACAAAGAACACTCTAGGCATAAAAATCCAATGGAATGCAATTTTGGGAAATAACACATGTACTTATAGATAATGGATAAATAAAAGTGAGGATAAAAAACATATTTTTATATGTATTCGAATGTTCTTATTTGTATTCCTCAACATAAGAATACAGGCTCGGATCTCTGGTAATCATGGTCATTGCAAACCAGACATTTTAAGGACAGATGATACAAACAATTTTTTTCCTTGGACGAAACTTGATATATCATGTCACAAGTTTATAAAAGTGGATATTTCTTAAGATTTTTTCTCCTAAGAACTGGAAAATGAAATAGACTTGGAAAATACAATGTATTAGTAATATTTCAATAAAAAAATATATATATAGTCAAATAACACTCAGTAAAGGTTTACAGGTGAAAACAAGTTTCAGAAATGTTACCTTGGTGCTGAAAGTGTAATATAAACTTTAGAAAAATATACCTAGCCAGGTGAATTTTATGAGGAAAAACAAAATGACAAAAAATTAGGAATATCACATAGGCTGAGTTCTACCATTTTCCTCTTCTTAATAAAATTCACCTGGATTGGTATATTTTTCTAAAGTTTATATTACACTTTTAGCACCAAGGTAACATATTCTGAAATTTGTTTTCATCTGTAAACCTGTACTGAATGTGTTTTGTCCATGTTTGTAATTATATTGAAATATTACTAATATTTCCCAAGTCTATTTCGTTTTTTAGTTTTTAGGAGACAAAATTCTAAGAGATACAGTATCCACTTTTCTAAACTTGTGACATGATATTAATTCTCCTCCAAAGAAAAAAATTGTTTGTATCATCTGTCCTTAAACCGTTTTGCGAAACTTACATATATGTAGATCCAACAAAAGGACTGACGTCGTCACTAAAAGATCTAGACGGTCTTATATTCCACCATATTTCAAGTTGATTGAAGCATTTATCTTTTATTTCCTACAAAAATACGTACATTGACTACTGCTCCAAAAAATATCAATTATGAGAAACTTTATTGAAGCCAGCTTATATCGAATATTTAATACGTTATATTTACATTTCCAATGTCTTTGTCCGAGATAAAATTACCAATTGTAAATGTAATTGATTTCCTCATGAATGTTTTGGCGCAGTTCCAAAAAAAACACGTGCAGGGCGGGACAACACCTAGAGAGAAGCAGGCTTGGAGCCCGTGGATTGGCGGAATCAAAGCATGTAAATATAAGGAATAACTGTCAGATTTTTCGAATTCATGAAGATGATCAATGGATTGGCTTGTGTGATAATTTTATGCATAAACGCCTTCGGCGTTTATGCAAATTATCACACAAGCCAATCCATTGATCACTTCATGAATTCGAAAAATAAGACAGTTATTCCTTAAATCCTCATTCATGTTTATCAGCTCACCTACAACAATTGTCCTGCTTGAAACGTTATTACTGGAGACCTAAATATAGTTATTAATAAGAACCTTAAATCATTAATTTAAAAATGGCCAAATTTTAAGGAACCCCGATCTTTTGACTGGCTTCATAATTTCATAAAATTATAATATGAATTCTGTGGAAGATTACCAAGCCGATGGGTCAGAAATGCAAAAGAAGACCTCCTTGACACGTTGTCGGAAAAGGTTAAATGCATCAGTTGTATATGTAAAAATCTCGCATTAAGCGATTCGTGGTGAAAACCAGCTATCCTTTTTTGCTCAATAGCTCAGAAGGGAAAGGGGAATTAGATAGATTATATTACATGATCAGTATGAACTGGTCCCCGCTGACAAAGAAGGTAACAACATTGTCTTTGTAAAGCTCATTTTTAATATATTTTTAGAAGAACTGGGATTTAATTATACAAGTGGTAATCCAATGTATACCAATAGCTCCCTTTCTAAGCAGGATATTCTTCAAAATCTCCTGTCAGTTTTGAATATTTTTGAAATTCCAAACAACTAAAATGGATTTGAATTACCATACTATATTGGATACCAAAACTTCATAAAAATCTTAAGAAACAAAGATATATAGTGGGTTCCAATAATTCTTCTACCAAATCTCTTTCTTTACTCCTCACTAAAGTATTAACAGCAGTGAAAGAGAAACTTCAGAAGTATTGTGCAACAATATATTCGAGAAGTGATGTAAATCAGATGTGATACTATAAAAATACCAAGAAACTTTTGTAAAATTTTAAATAAGAAAATTTAACCAAAATGAATAACATAATACATAAGACATTCAACTGTTTGTACATGTACAACCATTCCGCACGATAAACTAAAGTACAGGGTTTTTGGCATCATTGACAGCAGCTTTTTCAATTAAAAAAACATGGAACTGGCAAATCTATTTTTTAAAATCATTTCTATTGTATTTACAAGTGCTCAGAAGTTAAATATTATGAAGATGCTTTATGTTTTATAGTATCGGTTTGGTTTAGGGAGAATGCGTCTTTCAACAGTCTATTTGAATTTCAATGGGTACCCGCCAATTACGCTCCGTTATTAGCCGACCTATTATATGAAAGAGAATTTGTTTAAAATCTTATACATGAGAAGAAACACTTGTTGGGTCCTTCAATTCAATATTAAGATATATCGACGACGTATTATCAGTTAACAATAGTTTTTTTTTTTCATTCATATGTCGACACGATATGTCCGAGTTGGCTTGAAATAAAAAAATAACAGAGCCTTACAAAACTTTTACAAATTTGGATAATTTAATACAAAAAGAAGTTGGTCATGGTAAACTATCAACAAAGCTCTATGATAAACTTGATGACTTGAAGTTTCCCTTATTTACACAATAATATACCCCTATCACCTGCATAGGGGTTATCACAATTACAAGAGCATGCTCTACCTATAAACAATTTATAAAACGAAGTCGTTTATTGACAGGTAAATTGATGAAACAAGAATATAAACACTCTCTTTAAAATTTATAATTTCGTAAGTTCTACGATCGGTATAATGACCTTGTCAGTAAATACAATTTATCATTATTCAAATGCTGACTGACGTTTTTCATACGAATTAATAGGCTACTATTTCCACACAGACGGATTTTTTAAAAGAGGCACCATTACTCATTATAATTATAGACTTAGCATGCTTAGTTTGATTACTTAATACGCAGAGGTAGAGCAGAGGAACAAAGGGAAAAATGAATTTCTATTATATAATCAGTACCGCTCCATCTCACAGGTATCCCTGACCCTTCATGAAATGTTACAAATCAGATACTTTCATTGTGCCTCTTTGACTCTGTTTTTTACTTATATTTAATTACATGTATTTATATTCATTGACACAAATTTCTTTATAAAATATGAAAATAATATTATTTTTTTAATTTAAATTCAATTCAATTAAAAACACTTTTTTCTCATCATTTTTTTTTATGATTTATTAATTTATTTTGCGCAATATTATTAATATCAAAATTATGAAGACAAATAATTTTATTCCTCTTGTCCATTACGCGATCCTTGCTCTGCTATTTTAAACGGATACAATTGGATCCACGCCCATTGTATATGAAGCATGAACTGGCTGTGTGCGATCGATCATCCAGAAATCTTCTTCCGGTTCGCAGGATATCACATTGTTTACTCGATCAGCTGTTTTCATCTTCCGTAGTGGGATTTACGCACTGGATTAGCTTGTGAATAAAGGTCTGGGTAAGTATTTATAGCATTTAACGAACCTTTTAAAATCATAATTTTTTAACAAATTGCATTGTGGATACAGATTGTAAAATATATTTTTTACATGTTTTAAAATAATTGGTTTTGCTCTGTGCACTTCGTTGCGTCGCTTACGTTCAGTAAGGTCATTGATATGAACTCGCGGTGCATAAGTAAACAACTGATAGAAAACCGACTTATTGACGCGAGGGTGCTAAGTTCTTGTGAATGTTACAGATTTTCTCTCGCTGTGACTTTGTTCTGAGGGTTTGCGGATGGAATATTGATTATTGACTTCCGCGACATGTTAACTCGCGCCACGCCGACCTCCCCAGTTTTCCTATTGAAATATCACTGATATAATTCGTGACACTAAGCTGACACATCTACAATAACAACTTTTATTTTCTTTGTAAATATTCAAAATTCGCCTTACTTTATTTGAAAAATTACGCAGGTGTCGAAGTATTCAAGAAAATCACGTGAAACTTTACAGGAAGTATATTTCTGTCCTCTTTTGTACTATAATACATTTTTGCGTCATAAAGCATGTTCAGATAAAAACTATTCTCAGACAGAATTCAAGAGTTCAATGTCGATTAAAAAAACAGCTAAATGATTAAGTGTGATATACCACTTTTATAGAATTTATTTTCACAATTTGCTGACAACCATTTACAATCCTGAGTCAGCAGCCCGTATAATAGTGCAAATGTTCTCTAAAATTAGTGACCCTTGATTTAAAAATAATCTTTAAGTTATGCATGAGAGAGTACATGTGATCCAATTGCATTTTAAAATTTACATAACATTATAGTCAAGGATAATCGACGGAATGAAATTGATACATTTGTACCTGAATTTATAAACATTTTTTATTTTTAAATTATCCATGATATTTCACTGTTAAAATGAAACTGGAAATATATAAATTTAAAAAATGAAATTTAGAAGAAAAAACACATAATGAAAATTTATGTACACCCTTAAGATTTATATTTCGAATTAGTATTGGTATGTGAGGAATATAACAGAATTATAATAGAACACGATATAACTTCTTGTAGACAGTTTTATCAGTACTGTATAAGGGGCTCAATGTAAATTCACAATATGTTCTCGATTACTCTGTCTGGCACTAATATCGACCATGTGGCAGAACGGCCTGCCCTGTGTACTCGGTTCATATTTGTACAATGAACTCAGTCTTGATATTTAATTGGAGAAGACAGGGCCGAGGGTGGTGAAAATATCCAACACGTGTCAAGGTATTCTATATCATTACAAGCTATCGCACAAACGTCTTTATCTATTCTCAATGTACCCTACCAAAAATTCATGATCCCACATGTAACCCATGTTTTTCCACAGCGAACTATTTTTTATGTGCATTTGTCCTATGAAAATTATTTGAAACCTTATTACTTTGATAAGCAATGATACTTTGATTTACTATTTTATTTTGATGTTTTATATTCGACCTTTACAGGATTTGATTACGTGACCGACCCATTTCAATTCCAAATGAAGTTTTTATTATTCACTTTTTATTTATTTCTTGATTGAATATGGTACTTTGATAATCAATGATACTTTGATTTACCGCGTTATTGTTGTGTTTATGTTAACTGATTAATAATAGAAGATTCATTTTTTTAATGGCCTAGTAATCGAAAATTAGGGGGTATATGCATGTAGTTCTATATTGTCCTGTCTATCCGTCTTTTTTGTCTCTTTGTCAGCAAAAACTCCATTGGAGATTGAGCTGTGGTTTTCCGTATTCCACAGTTGCATTCCTTGCGGAATTACCTTTCTGTTGTCTCTCTAGGGTGCTACATATTTAACCCTCTGAGTCTGACTCACTTCACTTTTTAATAAAAATTAACCTTTGCCATAACGAACAGTTAGTGCTAAAGTGTTAATATTTCACTGTGACAAAACATTTCCTTATATTCAAAGATTTTTTACCTTGAAATTAGAGAGTGGCTTTTTTGCCATACCTAAAAAAGTTTGTACTAGGTCTTTCATATTTTCCATGTGACAAGTCCTTTCTTTGGATATTAACTACGGGTATTTATACCTTTCACGTTGACCTGTGAAAAAAAAAATCTTCGCCAAAAAATTAAACAGTTGGTGTACGAGCTTTTGTAATTTACCTGTGTGTTTCTTGTGACAAGTCCTTCCCCTGGAGTAATTATATAGTTCTGATCCTTTGACTTCGGAGTTTGACCCAGTCTTAAAACCTTTAATCTTTAACTTTCTTCTTGGCCAAGACTTTTGAACGATTGGTCATTTAACTTATATTTTCTAGGTTTATTCATTGAGACAGGTCTTAGCTTTGGGTTATAACACTTTTACATTTCTTGACATATGCCTTGAAGTTTGACTTGCATTTGATCGAAAAAATTTCGCCATAAGCTGCCATATGGGGCATCTGTGGCTCACAAACATTTTTTAACACACCTTCCTTATATATTATACAAAAAATGATATCTTTCAAAATAATATTATAATATTCATCGTATTTTAAACAAAGACATATTTAACTCTAAATATTCAAATAAATCATTTTCTTCCTATGTACGTATGCTGTGGTTTGCAAATTTATCCCACTCAATCTGTTTTATGAGGTAAAGAATTTAGAAAACCATAGTTCTAAGCCTTTATAAGTTATGGCAAAGGTTGTTGTTAAAGTTATTTTAAAATTACCTCATTCTCCAAGGACATAGATGTGAAATAAAATGCTTTTACACTAACATTTCAGAATTTATATGGTCAAGGTTAAGGTTTTTTTTAACGTCAAGGTCATTATGTAAAAATAAAAACGGGGAAAAAAAACAAAAACAAAACAAAACAAAAAAATACACATGAAAAATATGAAATCCTGGACACCAAATTTTCCTAAGGCTTGGGATAAAGTTTTTGTTTTTTAAATACATGTATATTACATGTAAATAGATGTTATTTATAAAGGACTGAAATATGTGTATCGTTGCTGAAACAGAATGTACCTCAAAGCTACATGTAAATCAAGATATTGAGACAGACTATCAGTACAAACTTTTCATAAAGGCTTACTGAAGGGGACATGCTCATGGAACCTTACTGTAACCCCACCCACACTTCGCCTTCATCCTATCTCTATGGACCCCATTAACTTATAAACGATATCGACCAATCTGATTAAAATCAGATCCTCGATCCCCTTTTTCGTTTTTTTTTATTGTCGCTACATGAGGATCGATCCTCATGTAGCGACATTAAAAAAAAACAAAGGAGTGGATCGAGGATCTGATTTTAATCAGATTGGATATCGACAAAAAGATGAAATTCGAACCTTAGGTATAAAATACACTTAAATAAAATTTTAGACAGATGATTTATAAAATATGAGTTATCTTTCTTGACAATGGGACACACTTCCTTAACTCCTTAGCTCCTCCAATTTTATCTGTATAACTGTCTTAATATAAGTTATGTCTCCTGACAAAATGAAATACCACCTTAAATACTTAGCTCCTCTGATTTTATCTCAGTAACTGCCTGAATACGTTTGTCTCTCTATCACTATAAGTATCTTATTTACACAAAAATGACACGAAGAGCGAAGTACTAATCTAAGTAAACAAATTATCATTCAAATTGATATTAAATTCTCATCAGCGGCATTTAATAGTTAACGTATGTCCAGTTTATTTGACCCCTGGTCAGATAAGGGGTACTCAACCTATTTATCAGCGATGTGATACACGTGTTGAAAATCAAATAGCAAAGTACCTTCACTTCTCAAGAAATTTGGTCTGAATTGCATCGTAAATGTAAACTTACTAGTATATGAACTTGCTAATATACTTTACAGTTCAAAATTGTATTGCCCATTTTTACACGCAGTCAGAATATTCACATATATTTAAAATGCACGATAATTTTTGATAAGGTGAATTTTTATTTTATTAAAACAAAAAATAACCACAAATTCTGAAAATTCTTCTGTTTATTATTAGCAGTGGAAAAATGCCTATTGCCTCTTAGGAAGAAGGTTCAAATGCGGCTATTTCTACTGGTCATTAAATATATTCACTTTAGTGTTATATTTTGAGGGAAATGGAGTGGTATCAAGCCGTAAGAATCAAGTCATTAACCCCGCCCTTTTTTCTGAATCAAAGTTCTCTTAATATCCATATTATGAAAGATAGGATACATTTACAATTTTTTGTGGCCACTCAGCATATTTTCTCTTAAAAGTGTAACATCTTTTTGCTTAGCGTATAGATAAACAACATGTTATATTACCTGGCTTTTTTTAAATAAACCTGCGCTCCTGAAAGATTTATGGAGTTGAATTAATCAGTTTCTCCCCTCTGTTTTAGTGGACACCACCATTTAAAAAGATGATCCCTTAGAAAGTAGACAAAGTGCCTCCCGAGAAATATCTAAGGTATTACATTTAAACTGACCAGGTAAGGTGTCTTAATGTCTTCAAAGGTTTCTTTCTATATAAATTAATTTTGATGCTTCTATAGATGCAATTCGCTTTACCTTTTATTGTTTAGACCTCTCTATTTTTATTGCAGACAAACACTTATTTCTAGTTTTCTATTTGATTATAGATGACTAAAGCAGGCAAAGACAAGGAAATGCCTTTCAAGAATGGAAGTGTCGACAAAGAAAGTGTATCAACGGATGAAGCACCACCGGCACCACCTGATGGGGGATGGGGCTGGGTGGTTACCTTTTCCTCCTTCATGATCAGTTTTCTCGTCGACGGAGTTTGTTTTACCTTTGGACTCTCGCCGTCCTCCCCGTCGGCCCCCGCCGCCGCCGCCGCCCCCGCCCCGCCGCCGCCGCCGCCGCCGCCGCCGCCGTCTCCCCGCCCGCCCCGCCGCCGTCTCTCCTCGCCGCCCCTCCTCTGTCCCCGTTCCCCTCCTGCCTCCTCTCTCTGCCTCCTCTCTCCCGCCGCCGCCCGCCCGCCCGCGCGGCCGCCGCCGCCCGCCGCCGGCGCGCGCGCGCGCGCGCGCGCGCGCGCGCGCGCGCGCGCGCGCGCGCGCGCGCGCGCGCGCGCGCGCGCGCGCGCGCGCGCGCGCGCGCGCGCGCGCGCGCGCGCGCGCGCGCGCGCGCGCGCGCGCGCGCGCGCGCGCGCGCGCGCGCGCGCGCGCGCGCGCGCGCGCGCGCGCGCGCGCGCGCGCGCGCGCGCGCGCGCGCGCGCGCGCGCGCGCGATATTCACAGAATTACACGAGTATTTTGGCGAGAGTAAAGGAAAAACGTCTCTGCTAGGTTCTGTATTGAATGGCGCCTACCTTTCTCTAGGTACGAAAAAGGTCGCTTTAGACTGCATGTTTGAACGTTTTATAACTTGATTTATGCAGCTGAACTTAAAGTTGTCGCTACATTTTATCACTACCTCGATAAATATATGCACATACACAAAATATTAAATTCAACGTTAAGACAATGCAATCTTTACGGACTTAATAGGGCGCATTCTAGATTTGGTTTAGGGGGCCTATAGCTAAGGTTATAGTTGTGTCACATACGTGTGCACAGACTTTTACAAACATGTACAGTATTATTAAACTTCTTTCATTGCATCGATTCCACTCTTGTTTTAATAAATTGTATTGATGGTATTTAAGAGCATATTTTCTCATTAAATACAGAAAGAATTTGTTTGCACTTACTGCATAATGATGGACTACCAAAAGTGCCATGGTTCCTTACGATGACGAAATAAAATTTCGTGATCAATCTCAGAGACCTTGTAAATAAATGAAAACGTGAACAGAGAAATTCGAACCACTAGACACATGAGAGGTTGGGATTCAATGTCTGGGAGAATTAAGCATCCCATGACGACTGCTCTCATTCGTCTTAATTGATTGAATCAAAAGAGTTATCCGTATAAAACCAGCTGCAGAATAATTTGTGTAAAGCATACCAGTCGAAATTATTCTTCTTCTTAAACCAAGCGATAGGTTTTGGTTGCAATTGAGGTCGTTATGAAGACCAATGCAATTTGCAAAATTATCAATGGAATTAGGACTGTAAAAACCCTTTATCATTAATTTATTTGTCAGTAGCCTTACTCGATTATATAAATTGCACTCAGTCTTGCTCTTACTAAATTTAAAGAGAAAAGAAGACGTACATGTACATTGCATAAAATTATACAATTTAATTTAAAAATGATTGAGGGAGGCGGCAAACTATACCTTAAACTCACTTAATGATGACATGGGTACTTTGTATTCTTGCATCTACAAATGTATTATAATTGCCCATTTTGCTTGCTTTGTAGTGCATTTGAGTTTTTGTGCATTCAATCATTTATAAATCTCTCCAGTTGTGATTAACTATCATACAGAAATCATCAAAATATATGAAATTTAGATTTACCCTGTATTTTTCATCTTTTGTCCGATTAACAAGTTATTGATGTTGTTTTTCCTCTATTGTTTAGGGCCTATTGTAGCGGCCTTCTGTAACAGGTTTGGGTGTCGGAAAGTAGCCGTCGCGGGGGGTATTATGGCATTCCTAGGGTTGTTTTTATCCTCATTTTCACCAAATTTAGATGTTATGATTTTCTTGTATGGATTTGTTGGAGGTAAGAGATGTCGTACATTCCCTTGTCAATTAATCACTAGTAATGTTTGTATGGGATTAACTCTTGAGTTTATGATTATTACAACTATAAATGTAAATATACAATAAAATTTATAATATGAAAGATGTTCAATGCTTCTAATTTTAAAAAAAAGTGTCTCATTCTTTACAGGAGCAGGGTTTGGTTTTATGTACCTACCGTCCATTGTCATGGTCGGGTACTACTTTGAGAAGAGAAGAGCTTTCGCCACAGGTATCGCTGTTTGTGGTAGCGGAATCGGAGGTTTCGTCTTTGCACCTATAACAAGCTTTCTACTAGAAAAATTTTCTTGGCAGGGGACCCTATGGATTCTGTCTGCGGTTGTACTCAATGCTGTGGCGTTTTCGCAAGCATTCCGACCCCTCTACACAAAAAACAAAGCAATCAGCAAATGTTCAAAAAATCTAGATTTAAAAGACAAAGAATTAAAACCATTTTGTGCTCTGGATCTCGAACTCTCTGAAAAACATCCCATCTATCGATGTAAATCTGTTGAAGTTGTGCATGTTTCCAATGGTAAAAATGACACAGTAGCTAGACTTGCTCAGAGCCAGGATATATCTTCTCTCAATGACAAACCACATCACAAACATCAGCATTCTGAAACAAGTACATTAAAACCATTATCGCGGAATGATATATTTTACAGCGGTAGCCTGAAGAACATTCCTCACAGTGTCAGTAGAAACAGTATCAAAGTATCGGTGTCTAGTTTATCTAAGGAAAAGGACAGTGATTCCGAAAGTTCGGAGGAAGACAACGGGTGTTCAAAAGTTGCCAAATCTCTCGCGGCTTCCTTCGATTTTACACTTCTCAAAAGTCCCACCTTCATTATCTACGGGATTTCCTGTTTTCTTTGTATGTTTGGTAAGGTCACCATTCATTTGGAGTTAATTCATGAAAAAGGATTACCTTCCGTAAAATGTAATTGGATGCTTAAGGAAGAACATTTTTGATTATAAATGGCTATATGATTACGGATTTAATTCAAAGCCATATAAAACATAATTTTTATGTAAACTTAAAATTGTCAAATATCTAATTTAAAGGTAAACTCAGCTTATTATCTGTTCGTTGACTTGTCATTACAAATATTCTACCCCCTTCTAATATACTACATGTATACATGTATCAGGTTTCTTTATTTACGCATAGCTTTCTTACTTATCGGCATTCTATGTGTCTTTTGAATTAAGTTTAAACATCTTAAATTCACACAGGATTTTTCATTCCATTCAACTTCTTGCCTGACCTGGTACACGATCTGAATCTTGAAAAAAGCCAGGGAGCCACGCTGATCGCCATTATTGGAGTGAGCAACACATTAAGCAGGTTATTGGTGGGTTTTGTCACCGACCAGCCCTGGGCAAACTCCCTCGTCATCAATAACCTCGCTTTGGTGGTGGGAGGGGTCACGACCTTTGCTGTTCCATTTTATAACAGCTTTCCACTTCTGATTGCTTACAGCATCGTGTTTGGGGCAGCTATAGGTTTGAATTTATTCTTAGGATCAATAAAATTTTCATTTTTTTATATTAATTTTCAAATGTCTTTTTAGAATTTTTATGAAAAAAAGAAAAGTTTAACCCAGAATTTTATAATATAACAAAAGTATCTGACATGGAGCTCAAAAATGTGAAAATACATGTAATAGATTAAACTTATAAAGAACAGACTATTTCTAACATTGTTTTTTCCTTTTATAGCGGCGTTTGTCTCCCTTCGGTCTATCATTATGGTGGAGTTGATGGGAATAGAGAAACTGACCAATGCCTTTGGTCTGGTTGTGCTTTGTCAAGGGTTATCTTCCTTTATGGGTTCACCCATTGCAGGTCTGATCATAGAATTTTAAACTTCTATGCTTTATTCTCATTTCTTTTTTAAATAAACAAGGAAATTCAAAGAATTGTGGTCCCCCACTTTCGGTGTCTTTGTGGTTGAGATGGCATTTTTTATAACCTACTGTGTCAAATATAAACACCCTATCATATGTCATTCAGAAATTATCACCAAAGTTGATTTTTTTTAAATTAGATCATTCCTGAAGGTCTTTGTCAACTGGTCAGAAATCATTGCATGCTAGGAAATATCTTGTCACAGTTAAAGCACATGTCCAATATGAAAGCCCTATCTCTTTTCAATCAAAAGTGATAAGGAACAAAATGTGTTTGTGAAACACTGATGACCCCGTGCGGCAACATAGCAGAGATTAAACTTTTCTTAATTAAATATATTTGTACACAAAGAAGGGTCTTTGACCTTTTGCCCTTGACCTTGGAGTGGAGATATTGTACTTATGAAAAAACTTTAACCTTGACCTTAACTTTTGAACAGTTAGGGCTAGGACTTTCCTACTTCACATATGTAATCTTTGTGACAAGACCTTTCATTGGATATCAAGATTTTTTACCCTTTGAATTGACCTTTGAGTTTGAAACACTTTTTGAAAAATTTAAACTTGGCCATATATTTTGAACGGTTAGGGCTAGGGCTTTCATACTTCACATATGGTAATACTTGTGACGAGACCTTTCTTAAGAAACCAACAACTTTGACCCTTTGACCTTGGAGTTTTACCTACCTTTCAAAAGCTTATCCCTGATCATAAATTTTGAACAGGTGGTGCTGGGGCTTTTATATTTCACAATCATATTTCTTGTGAGAAGACCTTACTTTGGGTACCAATATACTTCATTTGCATTTAAGAAAAGTTTAATCTTCGCTATGTTGCCTTATAGGAGCATCTTGATTAGACTTGCATATATTTTGACATGTGCATTACCTATGACAAAATATTTCCGAGCATACTATGAATTCTGACCCTATTGACCCTGACATTCACGATTGACTTTATTTTTTTTTAAAAATCAACTTTGGTGATAATTTCCAAATGACATATGATAGGGCGTTGATATTTGACTCAATATGTCATAAAAAATGACATCTCACCCACAAAAACACCGAAAGCGGGTAACCACAAGTCTTTGAATGTGCTTGCTTTATTTTATCTGTTAGTTTTTTTTAATGATATTTATAAATGTATGTATATTATACTTTGTTATCATTTCAGGTTCATTGTCGGATGAAACGGGTACATACAACATTACTTTTTATCTAGCCGGTGTAACTATGTTTTTGGCGGGAGTAATTTGTGTGCCGCTGCGCAGAGTTGCTAAGTGGGAGGGGCTTCAGACAGAGACGGAAGTTAATGTACAAACCAAAGTTGTAGACAATGATCCGGAATGTTCACCAATGCTCAACGAAAAATCATGATTTGCAGAATATCAGCTGAATACTGTCTTTTACTGCAAACATGTGTTGTTATTATTTTTTTAGTATGTTTTGTATATATTTTTATAAAAATCTGAAAATCAGTATTCATTACTTATGACGGGGACTGTGGATCTTATTTTAATTACACATCGAAATTAAAACGCTCTTTGTAAAACTTTTACTGCAAATATTTATACTGTTTCATGTACCTGTATTCCCGATGCATTTCTAAATTATACAAAGTTTATTTGTGATACTAGTAAATTAAGCGCATTTTGTGAAAAAGTAAAATAGTACATGTATAATTGAAATAAAACTTAATACGAAAAAAAGGAAAAGAAAATATAAGCATTCTTTGAGCATTCTGAAGATTCGTCGACCTGTTGCATGAGTTGGATCTGTTCTACCTCTATCCTACAAAAATGTTGAGCTCTTTTTTAGCTTCTGATACAGTCGAAAAAAGTACTTAAACTTCAGTATCTTTACTTTTGAACGGGTCAAGACTGCAATAATCGGCCAAAAATCACGTAAATTTAATGAACAAAATGTATTATTGGTTGTGAAATTACATTTGTTTTTCCGATACTTGTTTTCGCCTATCCTCGTAAAGAAAGAGCGAAATGCACCTTACATACTGCCAAATACCAGTGTGGTGGTTGGCAAAGTATGCTGAGAAATTTCACTGGGGTAGAAAACTGAAGGAGAAAAGTTGTATTAAATGTTGTGTTAATTAACGCGTTTCAACATAAAGTTCATACTATTGCTACTACACTGTAATATGCCAAACTGACAACATGTGCTGATAGAAGACAACATATTGCACATTATTGCCCGTGATAATAACAATCGTCACATGGATTCCATCATTATTTCTTAAAATTGTTCTCTAGATTTAGTAACATGAAGAAGGTCAATTTCGTCATATATCTATTTCAAAGGACACCAAAATATATTCGTCGCAATGATTTTTCTACCGCTATATCCTTTACTCGTATTTATCTGAAAATTAAAATATATAATTATATTATCGTGTTACAAAACTCTCTTTATATATTTCCAGAAAGTTGAAAATAATCGAGGGATATTATGGGGAAAAAACAAAAAAAAATATTATTTGACATCATAAACATCTTCAATAAAAATGGGTGTCATAAATTTTCACAACTTATAATATCAAACTGTACATCAACAACATTTCTTCGTTAAAAATAACTCCGTTTCTATACATAAGTACTCTAGGTTGATATTAATTGAAAGGACTTTGGAGTTTCTCATTGTCACCATTTATGTAGTAGTCAGAGATCGTCTTCCAACAAACTGTTGAACACTATATATAATAATCGTGTTCCTTTACTAGCCGACCTGTTTTTATATTCCTCTGAAGATTTTTTTTTCTTCAAAAACTTCTACATGAGAAGATTGATTAATTGTATGTTGTAATGTTTAACGTCCCTCTCGAGATTTTTTTCACTCATATGGAGACGCCACCACTTGCCGGGGGAGAACTGCAAATTCTGTCCTATACTCGGAACTCAGATCCATTGAACAGTGAGGGATCTCTATCGTACCAGCACCTACTGCGGGTCTGCGACACAGGACCTCGCTTCATCCGACAGTTGGATTCGAACCCGCGACGTAAGGACCGACTCATTCGCGACTCTAGAGCAGACGCTTTAACCACTGCGCCACGCGGGCGACTCTACAAGAAAACACTTGCTGTGGCCTTTAACTGGACATACATGTAAAGAAATGCGAATGAAATTTTATCCTTCCTGGCTGAGGATCGGATATCCTTAAAAAACCTCGTTAAAAACAGCATTTCTATAGTCTTTATTATAAGGTAATATAACCTATCACTGGGTCTTACATGTATTTAACTTGCTTGTTTCATACCAGTGATTAAAGTAGTTTTTGTACTAAATTTGACTATGGAATGTAACATCACAGGATTCACGGCGGGTGGTACCGGTCAGGGGACACAGGAAGAATATGTTTTGTAATAATTTTTGTAATGAATATTTTTTGTGACATTTTGATTGTGCACTTAGTATATGTGAAATTAATGACAATCAACTTGTACGTCTTAATTAATTCAGTGTTAGGTTAGCATTTCAAGGAGGACGAGGGAATGGGGTTAGTAGAATCAAGTGTTGATGAACTCGTGATTGTGAATACTGACACAAGTAGAGTTTAAAATTCTATTGTCCATCTCAGTCAGTAATTTTTTTTAGCTCTACTGGTCAGAGACCAGAAGAGCTTATGCGATAGTAATGCGTCCGTCGTCCGTCTGTCTGTCTCTCTGTCTGTCTGTCCGTCTGTAAACAATTTTTCAAAATGCTACTCCTCCTACAGTTTTGGTCTGATTTCAATATAACTTGGCACACAAGTAGACTACACTAAGATACATAATTCTGTGTATCGGTTTTTGATTTGGATGAACGGTGTTGCCATGGTTACTAAAAATAGAAATTTCTGTGAAATTCTTTCAAAATGCTACTCCTCCTACAGTTTTGGTCTGATTTCAATATAACTTGGCACATAAGTAGACTACACTAAGATACATAATTCTGTGTATCGGTTTTTGATTTGGATGAACGGTGTTGCCATGGTTACTAAAAATAGAAATTTCTGTGAAATTCTTTCAAAATGCTACTCCTCCTACAGTTTTGGTCTGATTTCAATATAACTTGGCACACAAGTAGACTACACTAAGATACATAATTCTGTATATCGGTTTTTGATTTCGATGAACGGTGTTGCTGTGGTTACTAAAAATAGAAATTTCTGTGAAATTATTTCAAAATGCTACACCTCCTACAGTTTTGGTCTGATTTCAATATAACTTGGCACACAAGTAGACTACACTAAGGTACATAATTCTGTATATAGTTTTTCACTTCAATGAACGGTGTTGCCACGGTTACTAAAAATAGAAATTTCTGTTTAATACACTCAAAATGCTACTCCAAATACAGTTTTAGTCTGATTATAATGTAATGTGGCATGCAAGTAGACTACACTAATACATAAAGAGACTAAATCAAGGCTCATTTTTCTATTAATTGCTGTTGAAAAGTTTCAATTCCCAACTGCCTAAGTACTATTCTCTTTTTTTGCTATAAGTACAAACCAGTAGAGCTTCAGTCTCGACAGAGACTTCTGGTTTTAAATATTAAGTTAAGAAACTATTGGAGTATCTGTCCGTGCAAAAGCTAGATAGATGCCACCACTTGCCACGGGAGAACTGTAAACTCAGCATGGATTTAAGCAGAGAGGAATCTTTTTGTTGCCAGTATCTTATCCAAAGGACCGGGTCTCCATATCCCAAAGTCGAATTTGTACTTTGAATTCAATTCAAGTTGCCTGTTTTTCATTAATTTGCTTTCACTTCAGAAATGTATTGTTATTTGATATTTAATATATATTTTTGATGATATAATTAATTTTTTTTTATTTAAATGGAGCAATATTAATTTTGTATTATACCGGTATATACATGTATTATTATTTTGTATCAATATTATCTCCCTGTTTTCAACTTTTCTACCTGCCTTTTCTCTTAGTTAAAGAACACGTCAATTGAAAAATTTTTCGAAAATAAAAAGGATAGATGATAGTTACATGTATCATTGTGGGGTTTTTAGTAAACTTTATCCTCCGAATGAGACGTATGTGGTCAAGATTTTTCGTTATGTAAAAAGTACTTATCATGATTCTAAATATTTGTAATGTAGTGATCCTTGTTAATTGACCTCTAGATTTACATAACGAACAGTATTCAACCTCAAAAGTCTATTCAACAATACAAAATCGGAGCAGAGCAAACACGACTTGAGAAACATCAGAGGTAGGATCAGGTGCCATGGAGGAGTGAGCATCCCCTGCCGACTGGTCACACCCGCCGTGTGCTCCTTGTCATGACCGGAAAATAACGGGAAATCCGTTGTTAATTCAGTGTGTAAATAATGGACTAACAATTAGTATGAAAACGTCAGTCAGCATTTGATTCAATGATAAATTGTATGTGCTTAAATGGTCATTCATAACACTAATGAAATGATGACTTTAACCGAGACTGTGGATATTCTTGTTTCATCGACTTGTTTGTCAGTAATTTACCTCCTTTTAGAAATTTTACATACGTAGAGCATGCTCTTTTGTATCGAATACAAATACAAATTCGATAACTTATTCATAGCGACAACATTTTTCTAATATCAGATAATGAAGACATTTTAAGAACCCTTTTACACCTGGTTTTCATCAATGATTTTAACAAATTGTCATTATAATGGATTGTTTGGTTAAAATCAGCTGAGAGATATAAGCTCCGTATGCAGATGATGAAGGTATATCGCTGCATAAGTAACGGAAGTTGGCGATTGAAAAGTGAAAGTCATCGCGTTTATCATATCCGATTTGTTAATGAAATATCTCTGATTTAGACATCCTTCTTAATATATCAATACACCACCACTTGCTTTTAGTCTACACCTATACTAGACACTCGGGGTCGTTGAGTAGCGAGGGATCATTTTCGATTCAACAAATGCTGCACCAAGGGACCTTGGTTTATAGGACCGGTCTCCACGTCCTAGTTATAGGATTCGAACTCGCGACTCTAGACTAAACACTCAAACCATGCACTGCGACGGAGCGACTAATTAATGATAGGAGAAATAGGACAATTAACAATTCAGTTTTAAAAACAACATAAAATGATACATATGGGATGCATAAGACTTATGTACTTAGTACATTTACATCATCCAAATTCCAAAACTATACCTTTAAATCATTTTCGATTCGACATACATTTTTGTATGATACTAGCAAGTTCTCTTTTCTTTATTTCATTTTTAATTTTCTTTGTTGTTGTTTGGTTGATTGAGTAATATTTGTCTACTTGTTTTCTTTTAATGATAAGATCTATACATATAGATTAATGCTTTTTCAAGTTTGCAATTTAAGTATTCCAGAAAATTACGTAATGCATAAGTTACATTATTTTTTAATTAAAAAGTAAACAATAATCTTCAGTTGTTGGAAGTATTGTGTAACTTACGAATATATTACGTTCACTATTTGTAAGTGACCTTTGCATTCTCTTTTATGATTTGCAGTAATCTCCGTGTGTTTGCCCCAGAATTACCATTGTTTCTGAATTCATTGTTGTATTGTGCTTGTAATTAATGTAAACACTTCTCCAGCCTCTCGACATTCACAATTCATACAGTGTAGCTTTTTTATGCAATGCTTTGACTAACGATTACAAAGGTTTTCCACTAAAATATTAATATTTAAAATTACCTTTGCTTTAACTGTTCTCAATAATTAATCTTCAACGATACCTATTATATTTAAAATTACCTTTGCTTTAACTGTTCTCAATAATTAATCTTCAACACAGAGCCAGATTAAAACATCAGTTGCGTATATTTTTCATTTACTAACTTTCTTAGTTTTCAGTTCCATTTTAATGACGATATATAGTGTTGCTTCCTAGGAAAGATTTGATAGCGTTTACCTAGGTGTAGAAAGTGAAGATTGCAACAATGATTTATCTAAGAAAAAATTTGAATCTTCTGAAAAATGATTAGGGTGGAGAGGGGTTTAGATGTACAGATGCGTTATTATCTTTGTTTATGTGTTTTTTTTTATATACAATCCAGTCAACTAAAGCAAGCAAAACACTCAAGCTGCACAGTACTTAAAGACAATGTCCATTTAAAATCAGTAACTGTACTTCTGACTTAAATACCCAGCTACTTTGTACAGGGGGGAAAAATTTGTTTTGGTTTGATACTCCACCAATTGCTGGTATTGAAAATATATTAGTTTGTATTGAAGCACAGGCCTTTGGATCGCTTAAAAAACTGTGTTTGTAAACACCTCAATTTTTTTTCTAAGCGATCTAAAGGCCTGTGTGTTGAAGTTACAAATTTGGCATACATATGTCGGTATAATTAATTGTTTGATTCGAAATTTTTTTCACTCCTGTAGATGCATATCTTTACATTGAAAAATAGGTAGCCCGTGGGGCGCAGTGATTAGAGCGTCTGCTTCAGAGACGCGGGGTTTGAAGTTGATTCTTACGTCGCGGGTTCGAATCCCACAGTGGGACTTGGAAACCGGTCCTTCGGATGAGGCCGTATAAACCGAGGTTCCGTGTCGCAGTAGATGCTGGCACGAAAAAAAAAGATCCCTCACTGCTCAATGGCACTACCGAGTATACGAACAAACTCGTCGCTCTTAGTGATCATTTTATAATTCATTATTACATAAAAACCATACGTATCAAACACAACTGTAGTTACCGGTCGGATGCTCACTCCCGCATGGCACCTGATCCCACTTCTGATGTTTTGGAGGTCTGTGTTTGCTCCGCTCGTATTTTGTAATGCTTAATGGACTTTTGCGCTCGAACACTTTCTTTATCACCACATATTTCATTTAGTGGGGCGGTGGTCATATCTACTGCATCCCAAGTCAGTAAAATGTTTTAAAATGTACGTTTACGGCAACGGTAAGACCAAAGTCACAATGTCACAATTTAGAGAAATCTAAAATCTTAATTTGCGAATTCAAAAATCGGAGCATATTGGTTTTCATCATGGAAGTAGTCGTAGGACATCTTGTGGCAATAACCAATTAAAAGTTTAAATTATTTTTATTCAATACTTATATTGCAGGATGTTTATAAATACCCTAGCATAAATATGTACTGAAATAAATATTTAAGTCAAAAGGAAAACACGAGATATAACAGCTCCATTTTTTATAAAATAAAATAAAAATTATTTAAATAATTATAGGAATGTACAGCATATAATTTTAATATAATGAAACCTAAGCCTCGGTATAAGTAATACAAAATGTTGCTACAAATTAAAATATCCGTAATTTATATCCTTATGTACTTATGTAACTAACATAGTGCAAGGAACGCTCTGTCAAAGACTTCTTCCTTTAAAGTCAACATGAACTTATTGACGCGATGTATGGTAGAACAGATTCTTTTCCTGTATTCTTCTGAAGTCCAGAATGTAAGTGATTTTTTTCGTTTTTACTTCTTTGGAGTATTTTTTTTATTTCCATTACATGAAAAAAAATTTTTTTTTAAAGTTTTTGCTAATTTAATAACATATCTTCTCCTCGGCCAGAAAGGATAGAACTCGTAAAAATTAATATTCAATTTTAAAATTCTAACAATAAACCTTGAAATTGAAATTATTTCGGCAACAATTTTTATTTCATGTATCTAAATATAACTCGACGTACTTTGAATTCTTAGAATCTGTATAGTAAAAAGTACTTGTAAAATACCAAAAATAAATACATTTTAATAATACATTTTTTTGAAAAATATGATTTCCTTTTAACTAGTCTTTGTTAGGCAGATTTAAAGTTAGAAGTGATCTATTCCAAATTCCAATACCCGGTACCTAAATTAAAGGTTTTAATGTTAAATACATGCATATTTATTGATTAATTTGTAAACAAAAGTTGTATATCCTGGTGATTTCCTTCGCATTTTATAGAAATATACCAGAAATTTGATCTTTTCCATATCTGATATGAAGTGAATTGATAAACTGTGAAATAACATGGGGTAAGTACATGTACACATTATTTTATAAATTCAGAGAAATTTTTGTGACAAAGTTTAAAACATTACACGGGCTAAAATATATCAATATTGTTTGGGACAATTTTCGAAAAATAAATGAGTAGTTTGCAACACAGCTACTCGAACAAGGATGTCTGGAACGAAAAAAAAGTATCGCTAAGCGCAGCAGAGGTTGATAATGGTATTGATGGGTGAAGATGTTCAATGTTACACTCAACTACATGCAATATTTATTATACTGAATGTTCTATAAAAATACATATAACAGTTAACCCTGTATGCATAATATCTGCGCATTCACTATTTTAAGGAATATCACAAGCTATGTTTACTGTTGCTGTGCTGGGGGCGTGGCTTCATCGTTTAGCATGTAATAGTGATTTTCAACAACAATTTCCCGAGTAATCAGATTTTTATTTACCTGAAAGAATATTATTGGATATTTCCGTTATTTCCCGATCATGACAAGGAGCACACGGGTGTGTGACCGGCTGGCAATGTATGCTCACTCCTCCCTGGCACCTGATCCCACCTCTGTTGTTTTGCCCTGGTCCTATTTCGTATAGTTTTATGGACTTTTGATCATGAATACTGTTCGTTATCTCCATATGTTTCATTGATAAATACATACTGTGTAATAAATTTAAGTGTTTGGCACATCCCTTATTATTCGACTCTATTACACTTTCTTTAAAACTGTAACTTTTAAATCTTGCTATAAGCTCAATAAATGAATAATGTAAGTACTCAGTCGTAATGGAATCTTGTTTTAATTTAATTTCTTGAAACGTTTTAGCAGCATTCACATAAGCCCTGTTTCTCAAGTTTCCTTACAACATTAGGGCATTTTTATATATGATCATACGCCACAACGTTAAGGAAAAAGAATTATTCAATCTTCATCCTTCTCAGATTATGCGCTACCCTTTCCTACTGTACACAGCATATATATATTCAGGAACGTGTGTTATATCGATATTACCGATATATTGACTAAAGTCACATTAAGCAGGATATAATTTTTGTATCTATGCATTAGTCATTATATAAAACTATCATATATGCTTAAAAAATAAATCTCTGCAATTTTTTTCTTTGTTATACCAGCACTTCACATAGTATTTTTAAGAGCAACAAACTTTTACATGCATAAATGGATTATGTAAATAAAAAATATAGGTATTCAATGATGAAAACTTTCCATGGTGTGAACCTATAATTATAATGGACTCTCCTTCCATATACTTTTTAGTCATTGCTCAGCCACACAAATACTTAATTTGGTCCCAGTCCTTGGACTTTTTGTGTATTTTATATTGTATTGTTTCATGTTCATAATGCAGCAAACCATAAATTGATTCCCAGTTTTAGATAACTCGATGATATGAAATGGACAAACATATTTTTGATATAAATATTTACTTTACACTGACCCAGAATAAGTAGTACAGAAAAACACGAAACGTGTCATTCGGTAACAACCTGTTTTGAGATCGCCCCTGATGTAGCACGCTATTTACAGAACGAACAGCTGATCGCAACGTGCTTTTTGCTCAACGAACGAGAGAAGCACATCTCTTAGCTTTTGTGACAAGAAAATAAGTGTTTCTGAATATTGTCATGGCTATCGACAAATTTGGCGGAGAGGAAGAAGCTGCGAACGGCCGGCGATATAGCGGTAAGGTTTGGTGCTGCTCATTTAAATTCGCACTTTTCAACGTCTTCATCCGTTTGAAATCTGATAGTGGACGCTGTCAAACGAAGTCAGTTCTGATGTAAATACAAATTGGATTCAACGTTTTATACGAATTCAAAAATTGTTATACCCTTTCTACAAGAAATTGTATGTATGTCAGTATGTTGTAAATTCAAAGATGATGATATACCAATACCTGCATGTATTTAGAAAACATGTACTTTTGTATGCTTTGATGCAAAATCATCCATCTGAATTGTCAGCAACAGTCTATTTTACCGATCAGGTGGTTAACCCATTGTTTGAGAAAGGTACACATTCGGGGAAAGTTTAGGAGAAGCATATCATTGTGATGATATATTTCTCACCAATTAATTTTACAGTGATTGCAAGACAATATATTTTAAATCTGAATTGATGTGTGCTTTGTAAAAAATGAAGATTATTTTGTTTGTATGAACTTTCAACTCTATCGCACAAAATCATTAAAATGCATCAGATCTTGATTTAAAAATTCCTTTTAAACTTTAAGCAAATCTCAACTTTTTCCTCTTACTTCTAAATAATAAGGTTTGAGTGTGATAAATTAAGTCGGAAATATTTCAATGTACCTACACCAGTAAGACATATGGGAAACTGACAGTAATTACTTCCGCAGTTATCATTCATTGGCCTAGTTGCTGCTGGTTTAGTGCGGGAAAAGGTCGACACGAACAAATTGTGTGATCCCCAGAATCGGGAGACAATGGAAGAATTCTCATCCCGTGTGTCAAGGTTTTGGCAATCTTGTCTGCGAACTAGTGTGCGCCAGTAACATATACGTATTAGAATCCTACTGTCACGTGCAAATGAAGCTTGTGCAGAGAATGTAAAAATCTCGGGTATAAAAGTGTTTCCTGAAATGAGAAAAAGCAATACTTTTCCTTACAAACATCATTCGACTGATTGTCTTATTGAAAATGTATGTACAGTTTAAGATGCATCAATGGTTGAAAATATATTATATATATATAACATTTTCTTGTTATATATTTTCTTCTTTTATTATTTGAAAAATAGGTGATAATGAGCTGAAACGAATGAGTGAAGTCCTGAAGTTAATAGAAATGAACAAGAGAAACGAATCCCAGAATTCCTCGGAAACACAGAGCACGCGCTCGGAGCAGACGACAGATACCTTGGCGCTGGATGGCGGGTGGGGATGGTTGGTGTGTCTGGGCAGCTTTGTCATCAACTTCATCCTTGATGGGACCATGTTCTCCTTTGGGGTAATGTTGATTACCCTTCTGGAGTATTTTGGCGAGTCCAAAGCAAAGACATCTTGGATTGGTTCTGTCCTCCTTGGTTTAAGCATGATATTAGGTAAGTTTGTCCTAATAATTTCGTATTAGAAAAACATCAACATCTCAAAACGATCTTCTTCACAGTAATCATTAGACTCCGGAGGTTAACCGATTCAAACTGTTAAGGCTGGCTCACTTACGGATATATATGTGTTGGCCAATTTTTTTTTCGCAATTTTGCACGATAAACTGGATTTATGCAGTGGATTAGGTTTGCACAGAATGTTCCAACTGTCTTTTTGACATTTTCTATTTAACAATTAATTATATGCATTACGACTACTTTAAAGTAGTCATAATGCATTTTTTTATAAACAGAAACTATGTCAGACACAAATCATTTCTATTGTGTCTTGATTTCTAAGTGATTTTTGTAGACCTTAAATACACTTGTCAAAGTTTCCCATTTCAGTAGGATTGATCAGGTAGAGAGAGAGCAAAAATTAACAATTCTCTTTAATTTAGATTATAACAACAATTTAAAAATGTTATATTGGTACCAGAAATGAACCAAAAAAACAAACAAAACAACTACAAACTTTTTACCGTATAATCACTAAATTTCATGGGGAAAGGGGGGGGGGGGGGTTAATTTTCGTTGTTTTCTTGGAATCGAGAGACCCAAGAATTTATGACAACCACGAAATGCAAAATTTCATATGCATTACTACTAAACATTTTCCAAACATGAAATAAAATCCCCACAAATCAATATTATTTCCTCAAACCTCGAAAATTTGACCCCTTGAAAATGTGATTTTACAGTATGCACGAGCATGCCCTTTGATTTCATTAAAGCTTTAGGAAAATTGAGCACAGCAAGCAAAGGACAAAAAATGAACAATAATTTGCATGAAATGTTAATATACTAGTATACAAACAGAAAGGATGGATTATATCCTAGGCTTTACAGCGTTATAAAGGTCTTTTCTAATTATTTGTAACAGTGTTGAAATTCCCCCTATTATGTCAGGTTCGTTAAGTGTACCAAAACAACCTTCTGAGTATCCCTACTTCTTTGTTTGCTTTACTTTAAAATCGGTGATGTTACGTTCATAAACACGAAAATACATACCTGAAAATAAAAGGCATAATATTTTTATTTGAGGGTGACATTCAAAGTCATGGGTGTTGTCGCATCCATTCAAGCATCCAAAGTAGAAAAAGAAAGAAAGGACGCATGGGCGTAATAATAATAATATAATCCAGAAGATGCAGTAGTTGTAAAGCTGTGAAGGATTGGTCTTGTTTTTCTTGATTCTGCTCGAACGAGACCGATTCCTACTGGAATTTGGCCTTGCTTAGTTCACGAGTGACATGTCTACTTGAGGACATGTTAAATATTTTCTCAGGACACTTGACCCCAAATACTGGAAAGTTTGTTATACATGACGCCTACAAAGGATGCTTACAAACAAAAATATTTTTACTTGTCAGAGAATTCTTTTATGGTCATATAGTCTCAGAAAAAAGTATAAAAATGTAATCACATGTACATGTATCATATTGACGAAATAATCTCTTTTTACATTAATTAATTTAAATATAATTTGATGTTTTTTCTTGTAAGTGATCAAGATAATTTCTTCTTTTTTTAGTGCTTTCCATAATGTAAAACAATATTTTGTAGTTTGGTGTGAAGTAAAACAAAAATGCTTAATAATATATGCATGTACGTGGACAGTATTTGGCATACGCTGTGTGTCAGTGTATCATTGTACAAAAGCTATCATCATGGTGATGTACATGTTACATAGATCAAGAACCATGGCTATACTTCTTTCTGTTCCTCAGACGTTTAAGGTTATAGAATATGGAGTTTTTAATCTTTAATCATTAAACTATTTTACATTTGAATTTTAATAAGGGTTTCCTAAAAACTGTCAGGTGATTCAATGTTATTAACCCTGATCATTGCTGTATACTGGATCAAGTTTGAACGTATTTACAATATTGACCTCTTAAATCTTGTCCTCACACTCTCACATTATAGTTTTGCTACGAAACGGAGTTGTCCTTTAAAAGTTTGTTACCCTTAATATCCTTCAAAATCTTAGTTTCAGGTAGGGATAAATTCCTAAATGATAAACTATCAAGATCACAGCGGTGGAATGCATTGATAGCTCTGAATTTTATTTTTTATTTGCATTTGTTCAGGACATTGTACTTTATCCTGTGGAGAGCTAAAGATCATTAACAGCTCTAGCGTTCCTAATCTTAGTAGACAATGGAATAAACCAGCATTTGTAATACTTTGAAAATAGAACGATCTTATAGTACCGAATAAATTTACATTCCTGGTTTTTTTTAATATTCTAATTTTTTCCTTACAAATTAGCATTTGCTTCATCATTACCAACTGGTGAGCAGACCTATTCTTTATTTCATTTCCTACCTCGAACCTCTGTAAAGTATAATACTGGATATTCTTTCTCAAAAAAGTCCTGGCTAGAAGTATCAACACAGTTAAGTTGCTGATATTCATTTTACAGTAAGCGAATATGATTATAAAGCATTCGTTATAAAGGGACTTAGACACAGTTTCAACTGAATTTCTTAAACCAAGAAGATGGGTGGATAAGGCGAGCGAAGTACCTGTAGTGCGACAGATAAGAACTGAAAATTTTAATCTCAATTCAATCCAAATTTCATTTGATATTTCATCTAATATTAAAGTATTCTTTATGAAAAACCTCTACAATTTACAAAAATATCACAAAAGAAGTATGAAAAAGCTTACACACACTAAAAAGAACAAAAACGATCATTTTCTCTTACTTTAACAACATTTTTCAATATGAGTGGGTCTTCGCTCCATTTTTTTGAAAGATAATCCTAAAAGTTTGCATTAATACACATAATATTTTTTGATTTACAAAAACATGGAGCGAAGATCCATTATACCTTAAAAGAACACTTATGACACAACATTCGCACCTTTTCGAGAAATACTTCAAGTCCATTAAGTCGCGGGTCATATCACAAACATGATTTAAATGCCCAAAATCACCATGAGTGATGTAGCATAGTGGTTAACGCGTTAGTCTCAAAGCAGTATGCTATTGATATGTCGGATTTTTATTGCTAGGGTTCGAATCCCACGAATACCATGTATTAATTTTATGAAAGAAAATTTTTTTGCGAGATTTTTTTTTCTGTCAGAATATTTTTTTTCTCATAATTTCAAAAAATTCAATAATTAGAAGTTAATTGAAATACTCAATTCACATACAGAATATGATTTCTTAATATCGGACGCTATAGGCATTCTGCCCGCCTTGTTCCCCCATCTTCATAATGCATACAATTCCTTACTAAGGCATCATCTAATGATCAGCAAAAACGTGAACATCATTTATTGATTAACAAACGAGATAAAAAACTTAAATTTCTTCAAAATGTAAACAAGGCTCGTACCTTGTTTTTTGTTTATGCATGTAGAAAATATCAATTTATAACAAACTGAAATTCAGCAAATCACTAGAAACTGTCTAATTGTATTTAGAATTAATTCTTTATTGAAATTATCTGCTTTGAACGAATTATATTAGTATATTAATCTATGCATTACAAACAAAAACAGACACGGATCCTGCTTACATAACATAACATTTGGGGCTCTAAATTTATCCTGTATCCCGACAACTGAAGTTAACATTTTTGATGATCATTAGAAAGACCTTAGTTAAATTATCTGTAAATATGGGAAAATACATTTGAAAAACTTTTAAATTAGCTAAAACTGTGTCTATGCCCCTTTAATTATGAGCTAAAACAATCTGTCTGATCTGTGGGTTTGATTGTTGTCCGTGTATCCGTTAGGTAAGTATTCTTGTTCGTCTCCCTAGAGAATTTTTCACTCATATGGAGATGCCTCCACTTGCCGTTGGAGGGCTACAGTTGTTGTCCTATACTTGGCAGTGAGGGATCTTTTTCGTGCCAGCACCTACTGCAACACGGGACCCCGGTTTATACGGTCTAATCCGAAGGACCGGCCTCCACGTCCCACAGTGGAATTTGAACCCCCGACGTAAGTATCAACTTCGTATTCCGAGAGGTACATAGTGCCATTGTGCACCTCCTATTTTACTTTTCGATCAGACACATATTTTGGGTTTCCCTTAGCAAAATATTGACACTTCCTTTGCTTCTATAATATTGAAGGGTACCCATCTCATATCAGCAACTCGTCCTTACCACTGAATAAAATTTAATGATACTTTCACAGATTCTTATTACATAATGCCATTGTGTACTTCCTTTTATACTTTTTGATCTGACACTTTTTTCGCGTCTAAAGAGCAAAACATGGACTTTGCCATTATAATCATATGGGGGCTGGAGGCGAGGGTATCATTCAGTGAGCTATGTGCACACAGTACCTCTAGTTCAGTTTTAGTTTTAGATAAAGGGTTTGGATTTCAATAACACTGCCTCTTGAGGGTCCGGGAAACTTTCAGAACTTCACCTCTATTCCTAAACATCTGCATGTACAGAAGTCTCACAGCAGAAAAAATCTTTTGTATTTAAAACTCTTTAAAACAAGACACAAGAAAACTTGGTCTCGGGCAGCAGTCAGTAAGGGTGTTCCAAACATTGTATGGTTAATTTTGTCTGTATATTGTTTAAAGTCTTTATAGAGATGCCACCACTTGTCGGTGAAGACCTGTAACCTTTGACGTATGCTCGGGAGTCAGGCCATTGAGCAGTGAGAGATCTTTTTCGTGCCAGCACCTACTGCGACACGGGACTTCGGTTCATGCGGTCTCATCCGAAGGACCAGTCTCCACGTCACATAGTGGGATTCGAATCCGCGACGTAAGGATCAAGTCCTACGCTGCGACTCGACAGCAGACGCTCTAATTATCCAACGCGCCACGCGCTATTCAATGCAGCATCTCTTTAAGTAAAACTTAACTTCCTCGATTTGAAATATGGTTAAATTATGTAAAAACAACCTTGATAGGCAGCTAACCGTCAAAGCAGATAATTATATAAACCTCTTGTTTACTGTGATAAATTGTATTTAAAATTCTTTTCATGTCAGGAAGTTTGAATTCCTTTAATTAACGTGAATACTTCGATGGAGCTGTATCAGCAAGTCTAAGTTTGTTATCTGACCTACCTCCGATTATGACACTTTGAGTGTAGTTATGAATGACTGATATAGATTTGTTTGCTTTATGTTTCAGGTCCGTTTGTTGGTTGGCTGTTGGATAGGTTCTCCATTCGGCAGGTGACCTTGTGTGGTGCCCTTGTGGCCGCATTCGGCTTTATCCTCAGCATGTTCGCTCCCAGCGTGGAAGTCCTCATATTAACTTATGGGGTTATCGGAGGTAACCGATAAATTTTGTACCTTTATGAACTAGAATAGAATGACCCAATTAAAAGTAACCCTTGGAACGAAATTGAAATTGAATTTTGTTTGTTTATTTATCTTCCCTTCAAGAATATTTCACTAGTATTGCGACGCAACCACGCACGTTCAAGTTCACGGCAGCAAATTTAAAACAGTACTTGGTACTTGTACGGCCTTTGAACAGCTAATGAGGGATCTTTTTCATGCCAGCACCTAAAACGACACGGGACCTCGGTATTAACAGTCTCGTACTGTGAACCACGACCCTCAGATTCAAACGCAGGACGTAAGAATCAACTCTTCAATCCACTTCTCAAGAGCAAACGTTCTAAATAATTGTGCTCCAAGCGGACGACTTAAATTGATTCACAAAGTATTTAAAGTGAATTTTCTCTGAACTTTAAGACAAGACCCGTGTATACAATTAATTTAAAATTATTAAAATGTGAAGAACATTCAGATCCCCTGTATGGTCTAAATGCGAAAAAGAAATGTTTTATTAATCAGAATACCCCGGTACATTGCCGTATTTGAAGCAGACATTATGCGATATGTAGTCAATTCCGAAGGGGAGTAAAACAATTTTTACAAACAATCATTCTCATAATGATGGGTAATTGAAGTAAAATCTTGTGATAAGGTAGGCTTATAGACCTAAGTGGACTATTTATCACTGATGTAGCGCACCATGTGCAGCACGCACGCTTCAGAATGCATGGCTTTTCACGTGGTAATTCATCGCTGAGCTGTTCGAAACGTGTAATCACTTGTCCGAAGAACGAAAATCTTTCATCATAAATGGAAGGAAAACTACTTCTGTATTGATACGTTATTTTGAATATCAGTTTACTTTTTGGTCGCACTTTTAAAAACATCTATAGCTTACCATTTGTAGAACTAAATATACTAATAACAATCCACAATAACAATGTTATTTCCCTGCACAGATCCTATTTGAATACTGTAAACATGACAAGAGGTTTAAATAGTTTCTTATGTCAAATTTTAGGGAATAGTATTTCCTAATTTCAGGAATTGGTTTTTGTATGATGTTTATTCCCAGCATTATTGTGGTTGGTTTATACTTCTGCCGCAAGAGGGCGCTTGCAACAGGGATAGCCATGAGCGGTTCCGGTGTGGGAACATTTGTATATGCATATCTTTCCGAGGCTCTGCTATCTGAATACAATTGGCGCGGGACAGTCCTAATCATGGCGGGAATTCTTCTCAACTGTGTCGTCTGCGCTGCTCTTTTCAGGCCCCTATCTAGCGAAGCAGTCAAGGGAAAGCAAAATGCTCCAAAACGAACCAAAATGTTCGATTGTGTACATTCCTTTGATTCAAAGGAATCTTCAAATAGTGACCTAAACACTCATTGTAAAGATATACAAGAAGGGATGGTGAACCTCAGGAATGGGTCTTTCTTATTTAATTCTACGTCAGTTCTAGATAGGGAAACTCCTGCCTGTTATTCATTTATAAAGAATAGTTCCAACCAAGAATCCAAACTTTCTTCAAGAAGAATGTATTCCAGTGCACATGCTCTAAATCGTCTGGACAAGCACCACGGATTGTTTAGACATGCAAACCCACTCGCTCGAAAAGACATTTTTTACAGTGGGAGTATCAAAAATATACCAAAAAGTTTCTCAAGCTCAGAATCGGCCAACAGCAACCGAACCTTTGAACTGTCTGAATTCGAAGTTGAAGTCAAAGAGGTCAAGGACGATTCAAGATGTGGCTGTCTACAGAATCTTGGAGGGACAATAGAACTATCGCTTTTTAAGAACAGCAAGTTTGTTCTCCTTCTCCTCTGTATGGTCCTTTGGACAGGTAATGTTAATAGACCTCAGTTAATGAAAAAATTCATAATTCACTTTCGTCATGAAGAAGGCAGAATACAAATATTACATGTAAAAAAAAAAAATTACTAATTGTCAAATTTGATTTCTAATTCGGAAGCAATGTTCTTTATTCTGTCTTCTACAAATAGCGCCTCCTTCCTATCTATGTAATTTTATAACCGCCTTTGCGTACTATTTGTTTTTTTTTTACTTCAAAGCACATAAAACAAAACATATTGGAATTGACCAAACAATATTGACCACTTTAAATTTTTTGGATCAAGACAAGTGTACATGACCATGCATCCAATATGTTCATGTTTAAAACGGATAATGCAGCTTCATGGCAATTAGGGCTGGGTATTAGCCAGAGATTTGAATTGCGATATATTGCAATATTTTTAGCAAACAAAATGACATTTTCTTGATAAGTAAGTAATCATTTATTATAGTGACATTGTGCATATAGACATTTCAATAAACATTGTAAACAAAATACGTCAAACTGAATCTGCACCCGGCCTATTGGACCTATAGGTCACTTTTTCTATTAATCACATTTATATAAATTTACAAAAAATCTTGTTAAATTTATCAATGTTATGCTCTGAAATACAATCATAAAACAACTTCTGTCTTACTGTTTGGCTTCATAACAAACATTTCTTACATTTATTTTTATATTTAATGATAAAATTCGATAATCTAAGCATATTGCCAGTATATCGATATTACAAAAATGTATTGCAATACGATATTTTTTGTCATTGTATTGCGTTATACGGAAATATCGATATTTTTGCCCAGCCCTAATGGCAATATCTATTTTGCATTTGCTTCGTGCAGTTCGTCTTTATTGTCAGTGTTTTAAGTGACATTGATGTTCATTTATTCATCAATAGTGATGTAGGTTTGCAGAGTGAATAAAGTAAATCTAGCATGCACTATGTGTAGAGTTTGTGTCGCAAACTTTTTTAATTAAGTAATAAAGTGGTAACATACATTCTTAAATGCACCGACATAAAAAATGAATAAACAAAATAAAATAAATTCTGTTTGAGACAAAATATTTAAGCCTCCATTTGGATATTTAGAATAACTGAATGCAGCTCACTTGTATGCACATAGTGATTATCTTTGTTAATGACATTTTTGTATTGTTTGACACATATTCACATGTATTTATCTCTAAGTTATTAATTCATTAAAACAGGAACAGGTAGGCTTTTTAAATTTAATTGATTTTTTTCTTATCTCACCAAATTTGATAAATTTGGGGAAAAAGTTCCTATATTTTAGTTACATGACTTAAGGGTTTTAATTTGGGAAATTCTTTTTTTGAATTAAATTACACTGTTTTCCCTACCTGTTCCAAAAAGTATATTTATTTTGTTATATATTATATGTTTTCTTTCAGACCTAGCTCTCTTTCAGTAACTTGTGTTTTTCAGGGGGTCGGGGCGCCGTGTGTGATAAGGTGGACAAATGGCTCCTCCTAGCCGTACATAAGGGGTAAATGCCAGGACGGTATATATGTCAGAAACACACAATTTGGGGGGGATCTCCTTAAATCTCTGTAAATGATTTGAAGTTTATCATGTATCATTTTGCGAAAAGGATACATTTTTTGATTTAAAAAAATCGACCTTCTTAGAACATTCATTTAATTGCTGATACCTGTGAAAAATTGTAATTCATGCTTGAAAGTTGTCAGTTCAATAGCATTCAGAATTGTGTATTAAATCTTCTTTATATTTGCATTCAATTTGCAATATTTCCTTGGACATTATGAAATTTTGAAAACTTCTAGAAGGAAAAATTATCATTTAGATCAGCGATTTTTTAAAGATTGTAATAAGCGTATGATCATTAGCAAACATAGTATAAAGCTAAATTCTGATTTTGAATGAAGAGGATTGGTTAAAGCAAAATTCAGATTATTATTTTTAAACTTAGTTACAAGTCTGCTAGTTTTTCTTAAAACCACTCGAAAGAAATATTGTCAAATTATATAGTTTATTTGCGTCAAGTTAGAAGGAAAAGCACTTTACATCACACTTTTGCTGTATTCTAGACTAGTTTAGATGGTTGTGATTATTTCTTTGTAGATGGTGTGTAATTTTTTTCCATCAAGAATTATGTTAAAATATTGTTGTGCAATATTTTTTTCTTTTAAGAACTGTTACTTTCGAAGAAATTTATAAATATTTCAGAGTGTACAAAAAGTGTTTAACATGGAACTCTTTTCCCCTTCTTACAGCGCAGTCCATAACCTTGACATTCTTACCTGACATGGCAGTCGCCAATGGGATACCACGTGATCAAAGTGCTAGCATTATATCCATTTGCGGAATTACGAATACGGTGGGACGGATCTTTGCAGGCTTTCTTACTGACACATTTCACGTCAGAAGCACCGTCATCTACTTGGTTGCTCTTTCAGTAGCAGCTGTTGCTAACTTCCTGTTTCCTTGGTGCTATAGCTACGCCACTATCTCTGTTTGTGCTGCAGTGTTTGGATTTTGTATGGGTAGGCATACAATAATGTTCACATCGATAGAATGCTTTAATGTTTAAAATTATTATTGATAATGTCAAAGGTTTGAAAAGTTGTGCGAATATTTTTAATAATAATTACGATAAAATTCTTTCTGGTTAATTAGCCAGTATCGTCTGCCTCCGTACCATTGTGATCGTGGAACAGTTGGGGATCCGGAGACTTACCAGTGCCTTCAGTATGATTGCCTTCTTCCAAGGCATTGCATTCATTCTCAACCCACCAGCCGCAGGTGAGTATATTAATTTTATATCACCGTGATTTCATTTTCTCCTTATTTAGAATGCTCAAAATTGTCAAACATTTTCTTTCCTTTCACAGGTTTTCTGTATGACTCCACGAGATCTTATTTGTATCCGTTTATACTGTCCGGAAGTATGTACGTAGTTGCGGCCCTTTCCTGCGCTGTTGTGTTGCTCAAACATTGTATTTCACCGACTGATACAGGGAAGGACAGTATATCTGTTGTGATTGAAAGCGAGGGAACATCCACAGACGAATCTCTACTCAATGTCTAATTAGAATACTAGTCTACTTTTAATTAGATCAATGTTTGATTTGTATATAAAGTGTAATATTTATTGAAACGAAAGTTACTTGGTTATTGTGATGAACAAGTGTATTATTGAAATATAGTTTATACATTTTGATGATTGATGTGTCCTTAGTGACGAATTCTTGATTTTGTCATATCTTTTAACTAAAATTGTATTTCTTTCTTGATTTCTATTTTCTTTCCCACTATGGGACGTGGAGAGCAGTCCTTCGGATGAGACCGTATAAACCGAGGTCCCATGTTGCAGTACTTACTGCCATTAAGCAGTTAGGGATCTTTTTCTTGACAGCACGTCAAGAAAAAGATCCCTAACTGCTTAATGGCAGTAAGTGCCTAGTATAAGACAATTTGCAGCTCTCCGCCGGCTAGTGGTGGCGTCTCATATGAGTGAAAAATTCTCGAGAGGGACGTTAAACAAAATACAGTCAATCTTTTTTTGGCAATCAATCAATCTTTTTTTGCATATGGTATTACAGCATCCCAATTGATCGAGAACGGTCAATATTTAACTGAGGAAATATGCTCAAAGAAAAAATTAATGTTTCAGGGATCTCAACAATGCATGTGGTCGATTATCAGCATTTCGTAAAATCTTTTGTCACTACATAACCTACATGTATCACTGGTTTTCAATTTAATCATCATACCATTAGTAAGTCATTTAATTCAAAACTAGATTGGATTTTCTTGAAAAGGGGAAGATTGATTTCATAAAAACCACAAACAATTCAATAATGTAAACAGCGCAGGAACATGGACCCCTGGACATTCCACAGGTGGGGTCTGGTGCCCAGAAGTAAACATCTGTTGACCGGTAACACCCGCCGTTAGGCCTATATATTTTTGTTCAAATATTAGATGAATATAGGATGAAGAGATATGAATTTGATGCTAATAAGGCAAGAATCTGAGGTACGTTCTTTTCCATAACAACGCTACCGAGAACTGAGCTCATTTGTTTATTATTAATATGACATCAGACATTTTTTTTAAAAATCACACTCGTGATCTGTCAGTGACATAAGCATAATTATTATATTTTTTAATTATAATATGTGATATTTGTAATTTTAATATTTTATTTTATGATATTTATAACATCATAATTATATTTTAATATCCCATAGAACCAAAATGAATTTGAACTACAATATATATATATGCTGTATTCCGAAAGTTCAGAAAAAAATTTACAAAGATACATAGCGGGTTCCAGTAAATGTTAAACCAAGTCTTTCTTTACTCCTCACTAAGTTATTAACAGTAGTGAAAGAGAAACTTCAAGAGCTGTGCAACAATATATTCAAGAAGTGGTGTAAATCAAATATGGATACTTAAAAATTCCAAGGAACTTTTGGACAATTTGAAATCACAAGATTTTACCAAAATCAGCAGCTTAAATACTTACGAATTTTCAACTTAATATACAAAAACTTCCCATTCACCACGGTAAATTAAAGTCCAGACTTTTTAATATCATTTACAGCTGCTTTTTCAATAAAAAATTAAACTCGTATTTTTACTTACCTTGTCTTTGGTCATTTGCAAAATTAATTTGTTAAAAAACATTCTGATTGCACACACAAGTACTCTGAAAAGGACATCAAAAAGATGTTTGAGTTTCTGATTGACAATATCTATGTTGTTTTTGGAGACCAGGTCTTCCAACAATCTATTCGAATTCCCTTGCTTACCAATTGCGCTCCGTTATTAGCAAACCTATTTTTGTATTCATGTGAAGCAGAATTTGTGCATAAGCTCATGCGTGAAAAGAACAAAACACTTGCTATGGCCTTCAACTCGACATTTAGATAATCGACGAAGTACTGTCATTTAACAATGGTAATAACCATTCTGGTGAGCTATATCCTGGTGAGCTTGAGATAAAAGATATCCACAGCGTCTGAAACATCTGTTTTATACTTGGATATTTTACTTGAAAAAGACGTTAATGGTTATCTCACAACCAAGCTCTGTGATAAACACGATGGCTTTAACTTTTCAACTCCCTTACTTATGCAGCAATATACCTTCATTACCTTCTTACAGAGTTGATATATCTCAGTTGATGTGAAACGCAAGAGCACACTCTACGTATTCTGAACAATATCTAAAAGATAAATTATTGACAAACAAACTGATGAAACAAGAAGTCTCGTTTAAAGTCATCATTTCGTAAGTTCTATGGTCAATACAATGACCTTGTCAGCAAATACAATTTATCATTGAGTCCAATGCTGACTGTCATTTTTCATACAACCTAGATAATTGTTAGTCCATTATTTATACACTGAATTGACGACGAACCGTTATTTCCCTATCATGACAAGGAGCGCACGGCGGTTGTGACCGGTCGGCAGGGAATGCTCACTCCTCCATTGCACCTGATCACACCTCTGATGTTTTGAAGGTCCGTATTCGCTCTCCTATTTTTTTTTTATTGTTTATGGATTGTTGATCTTGAATACTGTTCGTTAGCTCTCATCTGTCAGTCCTGTGTGTAGCCAGTTTTATTTTATTTCAAGTTTCTGTAATCATAATATAGCTAAAAAAAAAATCAATAAAAGCTAGGTGAGGAAAGTAGTTCCGATTGAAAAATTTATGGATTTGTAAACTTTTTTCTTGAATTTGTTCTGGTCCAAACGAAACACAGGGAATCAATAAATTAAATTAAGATTGGAATTATAGCGGTTTATAACTACGTGAAAAGAAAAGTTGACGGTTATCTCGATTGTCATACTATTTGGTTACATGTATTAGCTGGTTTTTGTCGTCTATAGTCAATAACACAAGATGTGACAGACACTGTGGTGTTTTATTTCAACATCACTGGGATACATATCATGTACATGTATATAAGTTGAAATTTCTACTCTAGTATTATTAATTGATGCACTTGTCCGTGATCTCCAAAAGCCTAGTTTTTGATTTATTAGTAAGATTGGTTGTTTGAAGTGTAGGAAAGTCACGTGTTTTGTTGTTATATACTTTTGAAAAAATGGTGATTTTAGTCCTTTAGAGTTTTTAAGTATCCACATTCAATTTACACAACTTCCAGCATATTATTCTGCAGTGCAGTGGCTCAGAAGTTTCTCCTTAACAGCAGTTTCTATTTCGGTAAGGAGTAAAGATAATGCTTGGTACTAAGCATATGCTGGACTATGCGGTGTACCTTTATTGGAAAGGATTTTTATGAAGTTTAGAAATTCAATTGAGTTAGGGTAGATCAAACTCCATTGCTTGACTGGAATGTTAAAATTAATAAACATATTCAAATGTGACGATGAAAAATTTCATCCTTGAAAAATGAGCTGTGTGTATATGGAGGATTTCCAGACTTGGGATTAAAACCGCGTTCTTTCAAAATATAGTCATAGTATTAATGAAGGCCTCAAGGTTGACAGGGGATGCTTACTTCCCTGAGGCAACTGATCCCACTCACTAGATTTCAAAGGGTCCGTGTCTTTAGCCCTGTTCACGGATTTGTAGTGTTTGCATTTTTGAGATCGATTACTGTTCGTTATATTTATTTTTCCGTTAAAGAAAAAGAGCATACAGCGGGTATGACTGGTCGACAGGGGATGCTCATTTCTCCATGGCACCTGATCCAACACAAGTTGTTTTAGAGGTCCGTGTTTCTGCTTGTTTGTTCTGCTTCTGATTGAAATTGTTTGAATTGACTGTTGAGCTGTTTGTTACTCCATTTATTACATTCATGGAATATGATTTTTTATATACAAAAACAAGAAAATACATTTTTTATATTCATTAAGAAAATATAATAAATACATTGACAACACACATTTTCTCAATCAGTATAAAACAGTAATGTTTAAAACTAAATTAAATGCACGATTAGACTCTCTAAAATTGGAAAATTGTCCAGCATACACAAGAGTTAATAATCAATCAAGTGCTCACAAAACATACATTCACAATGCTGATAATCTTTCACACGCATTAAAAAAAAATTACTTGTCAAGTACATGTAAAGAGTATTGAATACTTAAGAGCCATTCTCTGTAATGATTTGGAATTTTATATAGGAGCTGTGGCACGCATAGTCTCAGAATTTCTCCAAACTCTCTATGATAAAAGTCATTGATACCCTGAACTGAAATCAGGCAAAAATTGGTTGCTATGTTTTATAGTTACCATGGCAACATGTCTTAAAGTTCGAAAAATGGCATTTTTTAACATGTTTAGAACCCCATAGTTAACATTTGCGGCAAAGCAAACAATTGGCAATGACTGTTTCCAAAAGTTGAAGGTCAGATGTCTCAAATGCATGATAAACATGTTTGGTAAATCAACTATTACATACGTTACTATGGTAACAAAGTATTCAAAAGTAAAAAAAAATATTCATTGAATTATATAAAGTCATACACGTAAAAATAAAAAAACAATTATAGGATGAAATGTGACCAAATAATAGAAAAAGAGCCTTGAAACATATACCAAGAACAAAATATGATATTTCATTTTGGTTGGCAATGGTTGCCAAGGTTTTTATACCACAGAGAGCCTTCAAAGTAACACTCTGTTTGTTTAAATCTGAACCTATCTTTTAAAAAAGCACATTTCCTCATAACTAATGATCAATTTTTAAAGATGTTGGTGTGCTCCTAGTTTTCCCATTTGAAAAAATTCAGATTAGATTCTTTAAATAGAGCGTTGCTATGGAGATAAGCAGAAAATATATGCTTAAAAACCTGAAAAATATTTTCTTTCCTTGGATACGTACCCTTATATGTAGATTCCCAAAACTTTTATGATTGATATTTATTAACAGCTAACCTGACTTTTAATTTTGACTATCATCCAATCTCTAATTGGATGCAAGAAGTTGGCACACAGGGTTTAATATTGATATAAAGTTCACAAAATTGAACATTTTCCCTTCTTGGTTACCATAGCAACAGCGTTGTTTTCTTCATCAACTTTTATCAACATATGATATTCAACTTCAGTTCTAACAGATAAGTACTATTCAAGCTGAATCCTTTAATTTGTTTCTTGATTATATGGCAGTTTAATTCTTAATGCAGTGAAAAATAATTCACTTTTAAGCACTGGTACTTTGTTTCCATGGTAACACTGCAAAGTAGCAATTTTACCCAATTTTTCTTATGGTTTTGGTGTTGCAAGGTCCTAAGGATGCATATTTGCCAGTCTTGAATTTTCATGTTTTTCCTCAAGACAGTAGCATTAACCCAATCTTAGTTACTGGTTTTGCATAGTTACACTGTGTTACCATGGCAACCATAAAATTTATTTATAGAATAATATTGCTTATACTTGTATACTTAAGATCAAACATTTTTATTGTTTTTCTTAAGTCGATGATTGAGTTTTAGCATGTAACACCTACCATTAGTGAATATGGAGTGTTTTTCAGCATATTTCAGCATTTTAAATGTATTCCAAATGTACCCCTAGTTACCACTTGCTTAGAGATATATTCTAAACAGTTTCTTTACAGTATAAGTGACATCAAGGTGTCATGTTTTTGTTAGAATGGTTTGTTTGCTTTTTCTAGTTTTTATTAGGCCACAGTCAGGATTTAAAGTGGCTGAAAATCTCGATTTTTCAAACTTTTCCGGCTGTTGCCATAGCAACCGAGACACTTAGCAACGAAATTTTATTTGATATTTGTTTCTGGTGTCAAGTACTAAGCATGGGTGAAGTTTCATCAAAATCGGTGACCATGCGTGGCAACGAAGTTTAAGTGGTTACAGAGAATGGCAATTAACTCCTTCAAAATATGTACAACTTAAGAATAAGAAATACAGCGCATCATCCACATTTTCATTAATGATTTTTCCATCTCTTACTCGAAATCGCAGTACCCTTTAATAGGCAATTAATAAATGAATTTCACACCTATCATTCCGGAAATGTATGTCGATTTAAGGCTCTATGGCAGTTTCTTCACATCCGTTACACACTTTCGTCACGATTATCTAACATCACCTCTTTCTCCTCTGTGATGACGATCTCACCAGAGACGTCCTCTTTTCCTCTTCTCTTGACACATGGAAGATGAAGTACTAGATGACAAGCGGCCCCTGCAGCAAACATGAGTCCCCCGAGCCAGAAGGAATAGTTGTAAGACCCCATGGCGTTATATACAGCTCCTGATATCGGAATTGTTAAATAATGGCATAAATATTCAAATAGATCTGCTTTAAACTCTAACTTAAACTTTATTTTTTTAAGTACTAGTATGAAGATGTTTTCCTCTGAATTTTAAATTGTTTGTCTTTGTTCTATTTTTTTCTTCTATTTCAAGGAAAGACGTAAAATTTGCACAAAGGTGTAAGTAAGTGCTTTCCAAATTGTGCCTCCAAAACATGGGGGTAAAGAGAAGTGCGACTCATCATGGTCAATTTAACATTGAAATATTGTTGTGACGTACGTTACATTGTAATTATTATAAATAAAGAAGCAGGAAATCATTATATATAATTGATACATACCAGCTACAGGTGGGCCATATACCCCGGCCACTCCTCTCGCCAGGGTCAGGAGTCCAAAGGCATTGGTCAGCTTTCTAAGTCCAAGCAAGTCACAAATAATGATCGATGTTAATGAAATATAGGCAGCTAAAAGAAAAAAATCTTCTAACGTAAATCTAAAGTTTTAGCACATTAAAATTTGAAGTTTCATTCATAAAGAATCACAGACCTGCTTTTATACTCAGATATTTGCATCCATAAATCAGATCGCCGAACAACACTGAGTTAATCCTCTTACCTTAACTTTCACCTTTGCTACCCCACACATCCATTGTATAAATTAAAATATAATATATGCCACATTCAATCTCGCTTTCTGGTACCCACACCTAGTCTATATAATGCTGTAAATCCTACCTCAATTCCCCACACCTAGTCCATATATTGCTGCAAACCCTACCTTACTTCCCCGCACCTAGCAAATATAGTGCTGCAAATCCTACCTAACTTCTCCGCACCTAGCCAATATAATTCTGCAAATCCAACCTTACTTACCCACACATAAACCATATACTGCTGCGAATGCACACAGAAGCTCGTATGTGTGACAGAGTGGTTCCACGAAGAGTAGGACGGCACTCAGCACAAGAGCCACGTTATTGATGACTAGAGCGTCCAATTTAAAAATGTCCACCAGGAGTCCTGATAGGATTCTGCCTACAGTGTTGGTAATACCTAAATAAAAACAGATAAATTCATGGTTTTAAGAAATAGAATCTTTTGATTTAATCTTAAATTAAAGCAATCTCTAGAGAAAGTAATCTTCCATTACCTATTATAGACAGCAAAAATGCTGCATCAGTTTGAGGAATACCTAGGATTAGAGCATGGTCAACGACGTATGTAAAAGGAACATAAAACCCAGTCATTGCAAGAATGTTTCCAACACATATCATAACAAAGGAAAAGTCTTTAAGAAGTGAAAGGTCCATCATGTCTTTTAAAGTGTCCACAACGGATAATGGAAGGCACGTGCAATTGTCCCAACAGGATGTGGAGGAAATATCGGGTATAATTGTTGTACTGGTGATGTAGTCTCTGACGTCTGATCCAGACGTTTTGAATTGGGGTATATTATAAATGCTACCGCTGTAGAAGATGTCCTGACGGTACATGGGACGGGAATAGTCGCTTTTCTCCACGTGGTGAGTGGAGTGTAAGCGAGGAGCAGAACGGTAGGTGCCGTCCTGCGTCTTGGCGTACCCGTTTTCAATTTTAGGATGAATTTCACGGACTTTTAAATCACTTAGAATACCACTTGAATTTTCATTAAATGAAGTTTTTGTTTTAGTTTCCTCCTTTTCTTTTCTATTTTTGACTTCTTTTAGGTTAGTAAACGTATCTGCAGCAGGCACGCTTGAATCAGAATGTGCGTTGCGTTTCCGTTGTCCAAGAGCTTTTTTCCTTGCATTCTCAATCTGTATTTTTCTAAGTGATTGTTTCATTTTCTTCGTTGGTTCAAGGGGTCTCATCAGCATACCAAACACACATGCATTCAGTACGATTCCAGCTTGGATCATCACTAAGTTTCTCCAGTCGTATACCTGAAGCATCATAGCGTTAGCGGGAGCGAAAATGAACGTACCAACCCCAGATCCACAAACTGCTATACCTGTGGCAATGGCGCGTTTCTTTTCAAAGTAATACCCCACGATTACGATGGCAGGTAGGTATATCATCCCAAATCCCAAACCTCGAGAAAAAATAAATTAGGATCTTATTTTTCTAGACATTTTATCTTTTACAAAAAAAACTTTCAATTTACATTAGCCTTGGTCTTAACAAAGCAAATAATCGTTAAGTTTGAAGTGTTTTGCAAGGTGCTGAAAGCTTACCCCCTAAAAACCCATAGGTGAGGAGAAGTACTGTTATACTGTCGGCAAAAGAGGCAGCCAAGAAGGCAACTGCTGCAAAGACACTTCCTGCAATTGTTACGGCCCGGCAACCAAATTTGTTAGTTAGCCCACTCACGATCGGACCTGTAGCACACATAAAAGGAATCAATCTTTTTTTTTTTATTTCATAAAGAGAAATATGTTGCAAGGATACTTTAGATAAAACTAACCCTTACCTGCACATAAATACATTCCAACCAGTAGGGATCCCACCAAAGATACCTTCCCTCTGGTTTCTTTGAAAACATTAACCCACATGGGAAGAAGAACTCCAAAGGAGTAACCTAGTCCGTCCACAATGATATTGCACATAAACGAACAGAACACTACCACCCATCCCCAACCCCCATCCGGAGGGGTGGGGATGTAGTCCCCGGGGTCTACCTCACTGGAATCGGTAGATTCGGATGATGCATGTCTTTTCTTCTCCTTATTCGCCATAACAAAAAGGCTAGAAAGAACCGTCACAAAACTCTTAACCTCGGCTTATAGCTGCTATGTTCCTTTCATGATGGATCTTTGTAAATTATTTTTTACTATAGATATGGTTGCTCTCCTTTGATCCTGATCTGAACTGAATCTGTTAAAATAAATGCTGCATAAATTAACAGTATGCTAAGTTCCGAGGGCTATTTAAATGTCGATGGCCTTACTGAAAAAATAATCCCCTTTGAAATCGGCTGGACCATATAGAAGTCCAAGCCTAGCCGATTATTTATTTATCTAAGTTTGTCATATGTAATGTTAGTGCAATATTTAAGAGTATGAGATTTAAAGACGAATGATGTAAGTGTAATCTTTTTGATGTTACCCAATGATAAATAATTCAACATTGACAAGTAATAGTTTGTTGTAAAGATTTATATTTCTTTCAAGGACAATATATATACGCCTTCATGTTATAAATGGTTGATTTTTTCCCTTGTGAAAAAAAACTTTCGTTTTTTATTTTTTTATTTTACAATTAAGTTTCTTAAGCAGGAGGCTCTAATTTATTATAAATATATGACTATTTTCAGTTTTTTTTTATGTCACTTGGCAGCCAAAAATGCTTCTTCAGCAACTTAGGAATACTTAAAATATTTCACAAACCAAATCTTCCTTTAAATATTTTATTTTAAAGTTCAGATATGTACCAAAACATAATTAATTTTACGCTGAAACTGAGACTAGAAATTGCCTGCACACCTATGTTTGTTCATGCTATCATGTAGAAGATTGTGAGAGTCCAGAAGAGGCCGAAGGACCTATATCTATTTGTTTATTCTTTATTTTGGGTAAACAAGTGGAAAGGTAGAAAGCATTGACCATCTAAATCAATAGTGTCACATCGAATGCCACGATTTAGAAGGAGATCACAATGGTAATTGTCAATATTTCTCATCATAGATGTGACACTTTGAGAGATAATACTAACGTTGACTGAAGTTCTCAGCCTTGAAAACACACTCATAATGATTTATTTATAGCTCAATTCATCTCAGATATTTACATTATTTTTGTTTCAGATTATCTTTTATGGTTTTATGGTTCCAAGTACTTTTCTTGCTCTACTTTATATACGAGTCACAGGTATATAATGGTTAAAAAGGTGATAAAATATTATAAATTTCATTTCATAATGCATATATTTTTTTTTGGAAAATAAATCTCTAAGAATAATAAAAGGTAAAACCGGGCATTGATCTTTAACAAAATTGATTTAAATACTAGATTTGAATTAATCAAAGGCATGCATATTTTGCATTTCAAGTTGCCTATCCACCGTCAGCCAATTTGGAGGAGTCAACCATCTTATTTCATCAGGTCAACTAACATCATTTTATATCTCACTTAAACCAAGGAAATACTTATTAGCTTTGCAAAAATTATGGATCAGCAAAGGAAATTCAGGCAAAAAAGTTTTTTTAAGGAATTTATTTTTTTCCATTTCTAAAAAGTAATTATTAAAAGACTGTTATTTTATCGAAAAGAAGGCATGTTTTGTTTTTTATTCTTTTAGGTATGTCGTGTGATTTAATACATGTACTATGCATTAAACAGTTGACCTTGAAGTGACCTTAAAAGACAAAGCTGATGATAAATTAAATTCATTAATTCATACCATGAACTGAAATTTATGTGAACTTGAGTCACTGGTTATATAAAACATAAGTTGCTTGATACGAAATATTGTAAATAACATTGCACAGTCACAAATTATCCAATCGGATAGAAATTAAAATACTCGTACATATCTTCATGAGATCTATCATAGTAGAATAAGATTATTTAATAATATTAAGTTGATATTGCGCCATATTAGACAGAAATAATCCGGAAACTAAATTTCCAGCATTGCAAGGAAACTGAAAATTTTGAACGGTGAATACAAACTACAGGTGATTTTAGAAATAAGGTTCTTTGACGTTCTCCCTCGCGGAGTGATATGCAGCATCTTGATGTAGACAGGTATGGGGTGTCACACCTAGATATAGACAAACTCAAGTATCTGGGAGATTAAGTACGCAATCTGTTGACCTGACCTGTTAAATTGTCCCTGAACCTTTCAACATAAATACCACGAAAGCAGTATAAACCGAGATAACAGAAGAAATTGGGACATTAAATAACATATTTAGCTTTATAGTACGGCTATTTTTTTTATGGATGCGCAATTACCTATTGTTAAATGAAGTAATGGGAACATTGTAAATGTTTTCTCCATATCATATTATAATCAAAACGATGTCAGTTACACCAAAATCGACACTATTTTTGACATTATTTTTGGTAGTGTATTGTATATGTCACAAAAAAATAACTATAGACTTTGTATCTTGTGAAGTATTATTAGACAACATAAAAAGTCAGTTTGCTGAATGTCAGATGGTACGGAGGACCTTATGAGCTGACCTGATTGCCCATTAGAAGAGCTGCAGTATAGTGTCATTTTTTTAGTACATGTGTAACTTTAAATAAGATGTTCTACATGTATAATTAGGATCCGCCGAATCCTCGGATTAAAAATGATTATTAAGGAATCGTGTGTTTTCAATCCCCGAACTTTCGGATAAAAACCATACCAAGACACATCTATTTTACTTTTAATCTTTTTCGCCTCTTAACTTCCTTTGCCTGAAAAATATTCACTTCAGTAATCTATTTGGGGGAAATATATCTAAAATTTGAAGAGTCCTAATTGTAAACTTGCCCCAAAAAATTGTTTTCCCCAAACTAAGAGTTCGGTTGCATGGGATATCCCTGAATATGTTATCTGTTACTGAAATCATCATACTTAACCCCTATCAAACAGAGATACACTGTCGGACAATGAGCTCATAATGACTGTCTTAGGTCAGGAGAGGTCAGTAAGGGTCAACAGGGGCCAATATTACAAACAAATGAATCATTCATAATTTCATATCTTTCGACGACACTTAAAAGAAGCCATGTCCTTTAATTGGAGAAGTATTATTACGTACTAGTAAAGATATGAAATTATTACCTGAATACAAAAGCATTTTTAGTTATTTAAGTATTTTTTTTTTCAACCCCCAAAATATATTGATTTTCCATACATTCTTAAGTTTCAGTTTGAGACTGGCACATATAAGAAAGGTACCCCGAAACAACATTCGATTGTCATTGATTTGTTTGTTTGTTTATTAATTAATTTATATATTTGTTAACTTTGTTGACGCTATCGTAAAGATCTAGAATATGTCAGATACTGTATTTTTATAAAACAATGCATATTTTCAATTTAGCAATTTTCGTTATAAGGGTTTTAAACGTCTTATTAAAGTATTCATCTAACAGCGTTTGTCCAACTATCATACATGTACATGTATATCATCTCTCGGGTGAATCCACCTTAAACACAAAATTATGAAAGCCCAACAGCAATATATAGGTTAAATATTTGTAAGTAGATAATTTCTATGATTTTTAAATTATTTAATGTTAAGACATTTAAAGAGCTACAGCCACGAAGTGCAAAAATATGCCCTGTCACCAAAATGAATAAAATTTTATTCTGTGATAGGTTAGACTTTGTGGGTTATAACATAATTTATTTTTTAGTGATATCTTTTCCAGTTTTCTTTTTATAGTCGTTTGAAAATGGTATTGTTTCAAGTAAAATGTACATGTATAACGTCATGACTTTTGACGTTATATATACACATGTATATTGTAACGATATGACGTTAACGTTATTTAAATGAAGGTAATTATATCTACATTATTGGAAGGGGGATCCGCTAAAATAAACCCTACTTAAGAATTTGGCAAATTTTATCATAGGACCGTTAAGAAGTTTTGAATCATGACATAAATACAATGGCATGTAGCCAGCTAGTTTTTGCTTTGATTAAAAAAGTGTCAAATACTGTTATATTGTCCTGTTAAATCAAAAACAACTTTTTAAAATGATACATTAAGAGAAAATAGGGGAAAATTATTCACGGTGTAAATATTACCTGTATCCACAGTATTGATTAACCCGTAAAGTCACGAAAAAGTGAATATTAAGTGTTCAATTTTTTTTAAATTTTTTTTTTTTTGGGGGGGGGGGGGGGGAAATTAATAAAAGGCAACAGAAGGCTGTTTTAATAGCCGTTGCAACTTGTGTGATTATTCAAAACACAAGGGTCGTGCGTAATTATCATTACCATGTGTATATAGAGATACATGTTTTTGTTGCCTATCATGCGTAAATGTATGGACATTTTGTTTAAAAGTAGCCCTCGGACTTGCTGTACATATGGAAGGATATAATTTTGCCGACATACCTTACGTTTTTTATCGTCAAGTGTTATCCCTTCGGTAGAAGCTCTAGGGTAGTGTACATTGCTATGCATACTGGAAATTCATTCGAGATTCATAGTCAAAGACATTTCACGGCACTTGTTTGGATAAACTGTAAATTAATTACCAAATCTATAACCACTTTATTTAAACCTCTTTAAACGCCAACAGATGAACAGGCGCGGATCCAGAATTTTTTTCCAGTCAAAAAAATATACAAGCCAGAAATCTCTTCTCATGCAAAAAAAAAGCAAACAAACAAAACAAATCAACAGCAAACCCCCCAAATAAACAAAATAAACCCACATAAACTCCTTTCCCATGTTTCGGATTGTTTCCCCCATCTTCTCAAGACACGGTCTGGAGTCGGCATACAGCTCTTTCCTCCAGAATGGGAGAGTATGGGCATTGTGGTCGTGGATGCGATGATGATTGTGTTTCCCATACAAATAAAACCATGACTTTTTATACAAACTTAGCACAGATTTCAGGGTTTCAGTATCATCTAGGAGGGATCCAAGGTTACTTTTACTTAGTTTAGTATAGGTATTTGAAACTCCGTAAATCCCAGTCTCTTCATTTAGATCCGCGCATGGATGAATACCGGGTACACAGACAAAGGAGATAACTTTTATAATTTACCAATTCAACGAATTCCTATCAAATCGCTATCATCTCGGGGATAGAGAGAAAAAAATGTTAAAATAACACATCCTAAATACCAAGCTAGCATATTTTAAAATTATAATCTATGAAGGCAACGAAATTACATGCACGAGATAATTCTGA